ATGAGAGAGAAGGAAGAGAGAGGAGCGAGCGTGGATACAGAGGGAGGGGGGTGAGAAGGGGGAGAAACCCAAGGAAGGAGAGAGACGTGAAAGGAGGGGAGGGGGTGGTGAGGGAGGGGACAGGTGGGAGATGAGGGAGCGATGGGAGAGAGATGGGACAGGTGCGGGAGTGGAGGATCAGGGATCAGCAGAGAGAGAGTTGACCACCCAGTCGCAGCATCGTCCCCCGTGCGTCACGATAGTGACGCGGGTGACTAATGGGGAATTCATCGTCGTCACCTCCTCCTCCTCCACGCCTCTCCCCTGCTCCCTCCGCCGCTCCCAGCGAGTGCCGGCGCAAGCCGCGTTTCCATGAGGTCATTAACGCATTAACGATGCCCTCTGACCCCCATTTGCCCGTTATTGAGCAGGCCTGCAACCATTCAGCGCCTCCACCAGGCGAGCCATCGCCGCCACGACTCGGGGACAACGGCGTCCACTCGAGAATCGACCGATCGTTGCCGGCGTGGTGGATGCAGGGATAGCTATGAAGCAACCACACACACACACGGTCACGGCGGGAAGAGACGGTGCCAGTGGCCGAGACTAATGATGGACTCGCATCCAAAAGGAGAAGATGAGCGCCCAAGAGGGCGCTGTGACGGAGTCGTGCGTGCGGTCGAGCGATCTCGTTACGCGGAGGACGGCGGGAGATGCTGACGGCTGGGGGGTGGGAGGCCTTCCATTAGCAGCGGATCGACTTCGTGGCTCGTGAAGATGATGAGGTCGGATGTTAACGTAGACACTTGGACTCACAGACACTCAGTCTTGGACTCACAAGGACTCCCCAACTCACAGGGACTCACGCCCGGGTACTCGGCGCCCGTGGATGAGAAGCGGGGACGTGAGGGCTGGGAGTCACGGGGATGAGTCGCACACACGCACACACAAACCCACATACACACGAACCCACATGCACACACGGACCCACACATACACACGAACCCACACACACACACACGCACACACGGACCCACGCACACACACGGACCCACGCACACCCCCCCCCCCCCCCAGCTCGCGGATGAGAGCCCTCGTGCGAAAACACGGCCGGAGTGGGGGGGGGGATAGAGGGAGGGGGGGGGGAACTTCTAAAAGCCACCAAAGTTAAAAATGTTACAATTTGCGTCAGAGCGTAATCATTGATTCTATTATTATTATAATCAACTCGGCCCCAGCGCTGCTGAGACTCTCCCATTCATGTTGCGCCAGCCTCGTTAGCGGCGTGTCTCGCGTGCCGCACCGCCACGACGCTTTCCTGCCACACGCGCCAACTCCCCCCCACCCCCCCCCCCCCTCGGGCCCCCCCCCCCCCCGGGTCCCCCCCCTCCCTTCCCCGCTCGCTATCTCTCCCGATCGCCCTGGGCCTGGACTGCCACTCATGGCGGCCACGATGTGGGGGCACCCCGCCCGTGACGACCTCTACAGCGATACAACCACGACCACTGGCACCCCGACTACTGCCACTACTACTACTACTGCCACAACTACTGCTACAACAACTACTACTGCCACTACTACTACTACTGCCACTACTACTACTACTGCCCCAACTACTGCTACAACAACTACTACTACTACTGCCACTACTACTACTACCACTACTACTACTTCCACTACTACTGCTTCCACTACTACTACCACTGGCACGCCGACTGATGCCACTACTACTACTACTGCCACAACTACTACTGCTTTCACTACTACTGCCACTACTACTACTACTGCCACAACTACTGCTACAACAACTACTACTACTGCCACTACTACTACTACCACTGGCACCCCGACCGATGCCACTACTACTACTACTGCCACTACTACTACTACTGCAACTACTACTGCCACTGCAACTACTACTGCCACTACTACTACTACCATAACTACTAATAGAGGGTTTTTTTGGGTGAGATCGCGTAATAAATATATGTGTCTTTAAACCCGCCACCACCAGACAGCCAATTAAAAAGGTTCGTCACGTAAACAAAACGTGCCAATTCGTTACTAGTTCACTGGTACACACTGGTACTAGTGTACTAGTACACTGGTACTAGTACAGCACATCGGTGTGTTGGAGAGTAAATCCACAACATTTATAATTGTACTCAGATTGTGAATGGTGTGGATTTACTCTCCAACACACTGTACTAGTAACGAATCGGCATATTCTGTTCACGTGACAACCCTTACTAGTTGGCTGTCGGGTGGTGGCGGGTTCAACGACACATTTATATATTTACGCGATCTAAATCAAAAACACGCGTATCATGGATGACATTGGTGCCGAAAGCCCCACTACATGTTAAACCAAAAAATGAAGGCTTCCGCTCATGCAATTGGGGGTTCAAAACTTAAAATTCCCTTTTTTGAGCCGCTGCGACGGCTCCCTCCTGGCCGGCTGCTTCACGCGGTGACGGAACTCACCGCTCCACTCACGATCCGGCACTTCATCCACGAGCCGAGGTGGGAGATCTCACCCGGGGGCCTCCAACCCCCCAAATTCCTCGCAGCCACTTCTGAAGGCGCCCGCGGCAGTCGTGCGTGGGGAGAGCGCGCGAGGCGCGCGAGCACCGGGGGCTGAACAGCGCTCGGGGGGTTTTAATCAAATCGGGGCCCTTGAAATGTAACAAATTAATCGAATCGCTGGGAGGGTGGGGGAGGGGGGTAGGGTGGTTGGGGGCTGCCCGTTACTCTACAACCAGACGCGCGCGCACCGCGAGCCCCCCAAGGAGTCTGGGCCGGGCTCCGTGTTCCACGCCGGGCAGACAGAGCCACGGGGGGGGGGGGGGCAGGAGGGGTGGGGGGGAGACGGGAGACGCTGCGCTGCTGCTGGTGGAGGGTAGAGGCAGTGAAGGCAGGGGGTGGTGAGGTAGAGGGGGGGGGTCCCCCACACCGCCTGCCCCCCCCCCCCCGCCCCAGCAGCTCAGTTACCGGTCTAACGAGCTGTCCCCACGGCGCGCGGCGGACACCTGTTTCTAATGGGCGGCGCGCGGCGGGCCGCGGGGAGCCCACTCGTGAGTTCACGTGCTTTCTGCGCGACGCGACCGGGCAGAGGGGAGGAGGAGGAGGAGGTGGGGGGACTGCATCTGCCTGGGAGCGGGGAGGGCGGGCGGGGGGGGGGCGTACGCCTCACATCTGTCCCTGGGGCACCAACAGAACAACATCGTCAGCAGCAGAAACAGCTACGGCAATAAGAGTCTGCTGTCTGGGGGGGCCAGGCCAGCCCAGTTGCCGCAGGCCACGACCAGCCCAGCCCGAGCCAGAACAGGCCACCCCAACCCAAACGTTGGCCTCACCAACGAAGACCACGTGCAGTGCAGCCGATGTTGGAGCAAGACCAACGTCATTATCAACGAGTAGGCATGATAAATCAACGCAAACAGAACCCCTCTATCCAAAACCCAGGGCATACACCGGCCCAGTCAATCCCACAACCCAGGACACACTGACCCAATCTATCCCAAAAACCAGACCCCAGCAGTCCCACGAAAAGTCAAGACCAGGCTGCCCTTAGCCTACCCCACCTCTCATGCCACACCACAGCCCCCCCCCCCACGCCTCCAACCCCCGACTCCACGTGGCCCCCACTGGCCAGGGCGCCCCTAACGGCGCTCTCGTTACGACGGCGGCGCCCCGGCCGGCAGGGCCCCCTACGGGCCGGAGTCGCACGATCCCAACGCAAACCCCGCACGCTCAACGGCCCCGCACGCTCAACGACCTCGCCGCACGGGGCGCGGGACGGGACCCGCGGTGACGGCCCGCGGCCCCATCGCCCCGGGGGGCTCGGGGTCGGGTCATTGGTCGGCTGTACAGTTCGGGGTAGCAGTCGGATTAGAGTGAGGGTTTGGGCTGGAGTTAGAGTTAGTGTTAGGGGTAGAATTAGCAGTAGGCTAGAGTTAAGGATAGAGATAGCGTTAGTGAGAGTTATGGTAGGGGGAGAGGTAGGATAACCTGACCTGGTACCACTCACTGCCCCCCAATCGCCCCCCCCCCCCCACCGACCCCCACCTCCCGACGGGGCGCAGTGCGTGTGGGTTGTTTCACGCGTCGCAGTTGCCGTGACGACTGCACCGCTCACGGCCCCTCGGTGTTTACGGGTTGTTGTGATCGCTACACGCAAGCTGTGCGCACACGCTCACTCGAGACAAATACAAAGGTCCCCTTAAAGCCTCAACAGACTGTTGGTGGCAAAGTGCGGTGAGCCGGCGCGCAGGCCAAGGTGGCGCGCACGGTGGCGTGGCGTGACGGACCACCGCCTTACGGCTCGCCCCACGCCCGGCAGCCTTCGTCTCCCCAGTGCTCATGTTTACACGCAGCACCAGATGCCCATTTTGTGGCCGAGTCGACCTAGGGGGAGGCCCAGGATCGGCTCGGATATTCATCGGCGGCGATGTTGGCTGAGCGTACGAATTGAACTCGGGCCGCTGGGTTCCCAGCGCTGTGTGCTAAACGCGACGCTAGACAACGCGTGCTCACACGCGGCCTCTTGGCGTGAGCCATGGGTGACGGCCCGCTGGGGTCACGCAGCACAGGGGTCCACACCAAGGGGTTGCACGGGGTGCGGGCCAAAATGGGGGTGTGGGGAGAGGGTCTCACCTGGATTTTGGGTCTTAGGAAAGGGGATCTCACCTGGACATTGGGTCACATGACAAATAGGGTCTCATATGGACCTGATGTCTCAAAGGAAGGGGATCTCATCTGGCCTTGAGGGTCTCAGGGGATGAGGTCTCACCTGGACCTGGTGACCCCAGAGAGAGTGTCTCCCATGAGTCTGTGCGCACGGGACGATGGGGGCGAGTGGTGGGTTGTGCAAAAGTGGGGTCGGTTCAGGGTGGGTTGGACCCGTGGTAAGGTTGGAAACTGTGGTGCAGTGGCACCATGGCGGAGTGGAACTGTGGTGGGGGTGGTGGGGTGGCAGCGTGGTGGGTGGCAGCGTGGTGGGTGGCAGCGTGGCGCCCCACCTCATGCTGCAGCGCGTGTCCCACAGGCGCAGGAAGGTGTCGTGGCCACACGACAGCAGCACGGAGGGGGTCTCAAACTGGACCCCGAGGACCCCGGCGCCGTGTCGGAACTCCGAGCCCAGGGAGCCCAGCAGATCCCCTCTGCGAGAGGACACGAGACGGCACGGCACAACAATCGACGTTTCATTGACTCGCAGTCAAATTGAGACCGCCAATCACGTGGCTGGAGCAGTGACTGGTTACGTGATCTTGCAGACAAAGGTCCCCCGTGTAGCCTTTAACAGACTGTTGGGGCAGGTGCTATTTGAAATCCTCTATGAGGGCTGGAACGAGACACCAGGGGTTGTGGTGTGGCCAGCATCACAACCCAGTGCTGATGTTGAATCTACAAACACCCCACAAACAAGGTCCAAGTTAAGGCCGAGTCGATCTACATGTACAGAGGCACACGTACGTACACAGACAGGCGCACGTGTGTACACACAGACCCCCCCACACGTGTACGCATGTCATGCAGCGCATAAACATGAATCTCCTTAGCAATAGTGGGAGGGGGGGGCAAGACCACACCCCTCCAACCCCCCACCACTTAATTCAATAAGGTCCCCTCGGTGGCCTGGGATCTCAAACACGTGCACGTGCGTGCGTGTACGTGTGTGTGTTCGTGTTCATGCGTGTACGTGTGTGTTCGTGTGTGTTCGTGTACATCATGTATTAGTGAGAAATCGTAAACATGTGCACGTGATTGTACGCGTCTGTGTGTTCGTGTGTCTTTGCTGGTATTTATGGATGCATGTGTATACTGATACGTTTGTGTATGTGCGTGAATTAGTAACTCTGTAAGTTTGCGAGTATGTGACTGTGTGTGTGTTGATGTGTCTTTTTGTGTGTGGGGAGCGGTGGTGTAGTGGTTACCCCACTGCACTACAAACCCAGTGACCGATTTCAATTCCCCGAAATCAGTCGAGTACCTGGTGCGGTGTGCAGTAAACATCGCCACGAGGGAGACAAAGGCGGCCGAGCGTGGTGCTGGCCACCCACCCCCTCGTGTGCCGTCCCGGCCTTCACAGGTGCTGCTCGCTAACAGCACTTGCCCTAACAGTCTGTTCGGGCTACACGGGGGATCTTTGTCTTGCGAGTGCACGAACGAGTGTGTTAGTGAGAATGGGTGCAAGTGGGAGTCTTACTGAAGGCTGCTCAAGGCTATACGGTGTGGGGGGAGGGGGGGGGGGGTCTTAGCACTGTTGTTCACGTGTTACCTGCGCGAGAATAATAAGATCTACTCCCGGGCCGATTTGCCTCCAGATTAACCAATGAACAATTAACGCATCAACTCCTCGTGAGCGCGACTGCTTCGAGAAACCGGCGCAGGTGTGTGGAGGGGGCAAGTGTGGAGGTGGGGAGGGGGGGTCGTGGATATTCGCGGCAGCTGTTGCTGCACGCGCTCGGCTCGTCCACTCTACAGTCGGCAGTGCTCTCCGTAACCGCGCCACGGACGCTTGCTCCATCTGCTTTTGATTAATTGGACAACTTGGGCGAGTCGGCGGCGGCGTCACCGCGGGACAAAGTTGACCGCACTTGAACGTCGGCGGCGTAGCAACGTCCTCGGCATCCTGTTGGCTCTGCTCGCGATCTATCAGCCGTGGCTGTCGCGGCTGATTAGGGCCCGGCACGGCGAAGGAATTCCTCTGCTCCCCCCCCTCCATCCCATCGCAAGCTCCATCTCCTCCTCCCTCTGCACCTCGTCCACCACTCCCATAGATAATCACCACCGGTACCATCACCTCATCCACGCCTACCTACATCACGCCGTCCCCACCTCTGCTCTCCGCCAATTGCTCCTACCTCCGTCCCTCCACCCCTTCCCAATTCACAAGTGGGACACGGACACACACACACACGCGCGTGGTTGTGGCACAGGGGCTGACACACACCCCGCACTGCATGCGCGTGAGCAAGCATGAGAGAGATCCATCACACACGTGCACACGAGACTGGATGCTCTCAGAAACAAATACCCAAGTCCATGGCAGCCTGTACACACACTCGCGTGTACACGCCAGCGAGAACAAAGACAACAATCCCCCGTATAGCCTTTAAGACTTGTGAGTAAAGTGCTGTCAGCGAGTAGCTATGAAGACCGACTGACACGACACACAAGGGGGTGGTCAGTGACCAACACCACGCCCGGACGCCTTTGTCTCCCCAGTGATGTTCACGCACCGGTCCAGTTACTCATTTATACGACAGAGTCGACCAAGGGGAGGCCCAGAACCGGTTTGGATAATCGTCGCTGGTATTGACCGTGAGTGGGAATCAGCTCGGGTCGACGGGTTGGTAGCGCAGTGCGCTAACCACTGCGCCACCGCTCCCCGTGACGGAGAGAACACCGCACAGGCAACTCGCGCCACCTTTGCAGGTCCCAGATGCGGAGGGGCGCGTGGTGTCCGCAGCAGGCCGTGCCCGTCACGAACGAGCTGCTCACACACGAGACAAAGACAAAGACCCGGCGCGTAGCCTTAACACACTTTTGGGGCAAGTGCTGTTAGCGAGTAGCACAACTACTACTACTATAGCTACTACTATAGCCACCACTAATACTACAGCCACCACTAATACTACTGCCACATCTACTACTACTATAACTACTGCTACAGCCACCACTACTACTACTATAACTACTACTACAGCCACCACTAATACTACAGCCACCACTACTACTACTGCCACCACTCATACACAGAGACGAAGATGCACCTCACACTCATACACAGAGACGAAGATGCACCTCACACACTCATACACAGAGGCGACGATGCACCTCACACACTCATACACAAAGGCGAAGATGCACCTCACACTCATACACAGAGACGAAGATGCACCTCACACACTCATACACAAAGGCGAAGATGCACCTCACACACTCATACACAGAGGCGAAGATGCACCTCACACACTCATACACAGAGACGAAGATGCACCTCACACTCATACACAGAGGCGAAGATGCACCTCACACACTCATACACAGAGGCGAAGATGCACCTCACACACTCATACACAAAGGCGAAGATGCACCTCACACACTCAAACACAGAGGCGAAGATGCACCTCACACACTCATACACAGAGATGAAGATGCACCTCACACACTCATACACAGAGGCGAAGATGCACCTCACACACTCATACACAGAGGCGAAGATGCACCTCACACACTCATACACAGAGGCGAAGATGCACCTCACACACTCATACACAGAGGCGAAGATGCACCTCACACACTCATACAGAGGCGAAGATGCTCCACACATACTCACACACACAGAGAGGAAGATGCTCCCCACACACGCAACGTGCACACACAGAGACCCCGGGGAGAGCCCACGTCGTCTGTCGGCAGACACCGTAAATCAGCACGCCTGGTGCCGTGTGCGAGCATCGGCAATTGGGGAGACAAAGGCGACCGGGTCGTGGTCCTTGATGCGCCGCGCTGCTCCAGCCCGTAATAGGTTCTCGCGAACAGCAGCGCTCGGCACACCACCAATCTGCCCCCCACATGGAGGGCACCACCATGATGATGATGTACGCGCCGCCGGCCGCTAGGGGGCGGTGTGGGATGAGCGTGGCTCCGCGGTCTTGGCCTGATTGGTGATCATCAGTGAGCCAGCACCGCCCCCCCCCCCGTCTCCGTCTGACCTCCTCCCCCCTCCTCCTTCACGACCGGATTCTTAACCGCAACTCCCTAATCGGATCAAGGGGATCAGGTGACGACGAACCCCGTCTGATGGGGATCAAATGAAAATTACTCCTGGGATTCGGACCCCCACACACAGGGCTGCGGTGAATTCGACCCCTGCCCCAGACTGTAACTCCTGCCCGCAACCCCTGGAGCCAGCTGCATACACCCTAATCCTGACCCCAGATGTAACATGATCCCAACGCTTACCCTAGCCATGGCCCTTATCTTGACCTCAACCCCAAAGCTGCCTTTCACCTAATCCTGACCCTAAACCTCCCCAACACCTTCATCCTGACCGTGACCTGAACCCTGACGAACTTGAACCCTGACTCGAACCTAACGCCAAATTTAACCCCAACACCAACATAGACGTCAGAACTTTACCCGAACGCCTCTCATCCTCGCGCGAACACAAACCCCGAGCCCCCGACTCTCACGCCGGCATCCCAGAGCACAGTGGGAGACAGAGAGGGGCGAGGGAGGGAGGGAGAGCGCAGACAGGGAAGAAGGTGAGGGAGGAGGGAGCAGTAGAGGGGAGGGTGAGACTGAGGCAGGGTGAAGGAGGGTGAGGGGCTCTGTGAATGTGGAGGTAATGGTGCCCTCAGCGCTGTCTCTAATTCAGGCGCGCACACACGGCCAACTAACCGACACTCACCTGCCTCACCTGTCACTCACCTGGCTAACCACGCACATCGCTAACCACTCACCCGACTCTCCTAACCACCCACCTAACTCACCCGACTCACCCACTGCAACAATGAAGCACGCACCTCACCACTCACCTGCCCCAACCACACACCCCACCGCTCTCCTGACTTGACCAGTCACCTGCCCCCACCACTCGCCGACTCAACCGCACGCTCCCACACCCCCCCCACCGCACACCACGGCCATCAGCTCCGTGAGCCCCTCCCCTCGCTCCCCCGTACCCCCACCAGCGTCCCCCTCCACCCCCCCATCAGTAATTACCGGCCGCGCGACCCAATTTGCCCCAATCAACCTCACGGGGCCGCGCAGCCCAAATATTTGGTGTGCGCGACCCCTTGACCCGACGTTAACAAAGGGCGGGCGGAGCGGCCGCGCGGCGCTCGCCGTGGCTCTGTCATCAATTCTTCTTCTTCTTCTCGCTGCGCTTTGACTGCTCATCCCAGACGCGCCGCGGACGGCGCGGAGGCAATTACAGCGATTCCCGGCGCGGCGGTGACGCCAAACAAAGGCCGCTCCTCGCGCCACCGATATCATGGCGTGCGGCCCGCCGCGGCCCCTCCACAACCGGTTGGCCCATCGCTTTTCTCACCCAGCTGCCGCTGCGACCCCCACCCCTGCCTCCATCGCATCCCCACTCCACTGCCGCAACTCCCTCCTCGACAGTCCCCCCCCCCCCCCCACAATCTCTCACCTCCCCACACTCCTCACCTCCCCACACTCCTCACCTCCCCACACTCCTCACCTCCCCACACTCCTCACCTCCCCACACTCACCTCCCCACACTCCTCACCTCCCCACACTCCTCACCTCCCCACACTCCTCACCTCCCCACACTCCTCACCTCCCCACACTCCTCACCTCCCCACACTCCTCACCTCCCCACACTCCTCACCTCCCCACACTCCTCACCTCCCCACACTCACCTCCCCACACTCCTCACCTCCAAATGATCGAAAATCCTGCTGCCAGACTCCGCACCCGCGAACGGGCCCACGTGACACCACGACCCCTGCCCTGGCTCCCGATCCAATCCCGGATAAATTCCGACATCGCACTCACCTTCTTCAAGATCCCCCATGGACTCCCCCTTCATCGCCGCTCTCCCCTTTCATCTCACTCTACTCCCCTCCACACACTCTCCTACCTCTACCCTCTCATCTCACTCTACTCCCCTCCACACACTCTCCTACCTCTCCCCTCTCATCTCACTCTACTCCCCTCCACACACTCTCCTACCTCTACCCTCTCATCTCACTCTACTCCCCTCCACGCACTCTCCTACCTCTTCCCTTTCATCTCACTCTACTCCCCTCCACGCACTGTCCTACCTCCCCCCTCTCATCTCACTCTACTCCCCTCCACACACTCTCCTACCTCTTCCCTTTCATCTCACTCTACTCCCCTCCACGCACTCTCCTACCTCTTCCCTTTCATCTCACTCTACTCCCCTCCACGCACTCTCCTACCTCTCCCCTCTCATCTCACTCTCCTACCTCTACCCTCTCATCTCACTCTACTCCCCTCCACGCACTCTCCTACCTCTCCCCTCTCATCTCACTCTACTCCCCTCCACGTACTCTCCTACCTCTCCCCTTTCATCTCACTCTACTCCCCCCCACGCACTCTCCTACCTCTACCCTCTCATCTCACTCTTCTCCCCCTCCACGCACTCTCCTACCTCTACCCTCTCATCTCACTCTACTCCCCTCCACGCACTGTCCTACCTCCCCCCTCTCATCTCACTCTACTCCCCTCCGCACACTCTCCTACCTCTACCCTCTCATCTCACTCTACTCCCCTCCACGCACTCTCCTACCTCTCCCCTCTCAGCTCACTCTACTCCCCCCCACGCACTCTCCTACCTCTACCCTCTCATCTCACTCTTCTCCCCCTCCACGCACTCTCCTACCTCTACCCTCTCATCTCACTCTACTCCCCTCCACGCACTGTCCTACCTCCCCCCTCTCATCTCACTCTACTCCCCTCCACACACTCTCCTACCTCTACCCTCTCATCTCACTCTACTCCCCTCCACGCACTCTCCTACCTCTTCCCTTTCATCTCACTCTACTCCCCTCCACGCCCTCTCCTACCTCTTCCCTTTCATCTCACTCTACTCCCCTCCACGCGCTCTCCTACCTCTCCCCTCTCATCTCACTCTCCTACCTCTACCCTCTCATCTCACTCTACTCCCCTCCACGCACTCTCCTACCTCTCCCCTCTCATCTCACTCTACTCCCCTCCACGCACTCTCCTACCTCTCCCCTCTCATCTCACTCTACTCCCCTCCACGCACTCTCCTACTTCTCCCCTCTCATCTCACTCTACTCCCCTCCACGCACTCTCCTACCTCTCCCCTTTCATCTCACTCTACTCCCCCCCACGCACTCTCCTACCTCTACCCTCTCATCTCACTCTTCCCCCCCCCCCCACGCACTCTCCTACCTCTACCCTCTCATCTCACTCTTCTCCCCCTCCACGCACTCTCCTACCTCTCCCCTCTCATCTCACTCTACTCCCCTCCGCACACTCTCCTACCTCTACCCTCTCATCTCACTCTACTCCCCTCCACGCACTCTCCTACCTCTACCCTCTCATCTCACTCTACTCCCCTCCACGCACTCTCCTACCTCTACCCTCTCATCTCACTCTCCTACCTCTACCCTCTCATCTCACTCTCCTACCTCTACCCTCTCATCTCACTCTTCTCCCCCTCCACGCACTCTCCTACCTCTCCCCTCTCATCTCACTCTACTCCCCTCCGCACACTCTCCTACCTCTACCCTCTCATCTCACTCTACTCCCCTCCACGCACTCTCCTACCTCTACCCTCTCATCTCACTCTACTCCCCTCCACGCACTCTCCTACCTCTACCCTCTCATCTCACTCTCCTACCTCTACCCTCTCATCTCACTCTCCTACCTCTACCCTCTCATCTCACTCTTCTCCCCCTCCACGCACTCTCCTACCTCTCCCCTCTCATCTCACTCTACTCCCCTCCGCACACTCTCCTACCTCTACCCTCTCATCTCACTCTACTCCCCTGGGCAAGCGAGATTTTCTGTGGAAGCCCCCATTCAACCTTCACTCAGTGGGAGGTCGCTCATTCTCCTGCTGCCTCCATGGTGTGGAACTCCCTCCCCCCATGCAACTGTGCTGCAGACTCCCTGCCCATGTTCAACTCCAGGCTCAAGGCCTTGCTCCTCTGCCTATGACCGACTGCCCCTTTCTCTGTGAAATAAACCCACTGTGTGTGCGTCTTGAGATGTCGTCACATGTAGACGCTATGTAACTCCACATTGTCTTGTATTAATGAGGCTGTGGATAAGGAATGAGGCATCAGCTGACAAGACAGATAGATGGCCGCACAGACTCGCAGAGATTCCGACAGAAGCACGGCATAAAGGCACAGAGACACGCACAGACACAAGACAAAGATCCCCCGTATAGCCTTAACAGACTGTTGGGGCAAGTGCTGTTAGCGAGTACCTATGAAGACCAGCACGGCACACGAGGTGGTGGGTGGTCAGCACCACGCCCGGCTGCCTTTGTCTCCCCAGTGGCGATGTTTACACACCGCACCAGGTACACACCACACACTGCATCACCTACTACCACCACCAATCATGACCACATAATACAACACCGCTACCCATCACCACTACCACACACGACCACAACGACCACTACCACTAATGCCACCCCACATTACTCCATCACCACCACCACCTCCACCACACATTACACTCCACTACCACCACTCCACACTGCTCCACCTTCACACGTTGCAATATCACTACCGTCACCAACGCCACTCCACGTTCCAGCACCACCACCGCCGGCAGCACCGCCACCGCGGCGCCCGTGCGCAACCAGCGGAGCGAGCCGGCGCTGAGCTCACGGCTCACAATGCCCGCTGTCAGGAAAAGGTCATTGGCGGGGGGGCACGGGGGGGGGCACGGGGGGGGGGGGCACGGCGAGGCGCACAGGGGGCCGCTTTGTGCGCCGGGGCGAGCGTGGCCGCGCGACATCGCCCGGCCACAATCCCCGATTCATCCGTCCCGCCGCACCGCGCAGACGAAGGGGCATCCGCGCGCGACGTTGGCGCAACCGCGTCCGGAGCGCCCCCCCCTACCCCACCACCCTCCGCCCCCCCTCCCCCTACATCTTCACAAAGCGTGGGGGGGGGGGCGTTCGCGTTTTGGATCGAGATCCCCCAATGCAAGGAGTACGCGAGTCGGAGACGTCACGCCGACTGCCGAGGGGCGGACAGGAGGCCGCGGGGACAGGAGGCCGCGGGGACAGGAGGCCGCAGGGACAGGAGGCCGCGGGGACCCGACGCGGCGCTGCGAGGGACAGAGGCGGTCGAGGCCGGCGATGGAGCGGCAGTCGAAGGAGGGTCGCGCGCCCGGCAGGACGGCCACGGCAGGGAGCGGGGCGACGGCGAGATCGGGATCTCGTCGGACCGCTGCTTTGCGAGACCACGAGACGTGGCTTCGGCACGATGGGTGGGGCTTTCATCCAGCAGTGGACAGGACGTGGCTCATGATGACGATGTACGTGGGCCCCGGTGACCCTTGACGAGGGGACCCAGCGGCATCCCTTCATTCAATACCAGTGACTATTAACTGAAGCGGCATCCCGTCATCCAGCGAGTCTCACCGGCCGAGTACGCCAGCATGCGTCCGGTGGCGCTGGATTGTGCAGTCCGCCCGGGTGGCTCAGCGGGAAAGCGAGTGGCCCGAAACTGGAACGGCGTGAGTTGAACTCCTGATTGGGGTCGGGGGGTTGACTCAGCCCATCATCCCTCCTCTCCCCCTGGGGTCCATAAAACGAGTACTGTTTTGTGCGGAAGAAAACAGTTGTCCCTCTAAATAACTTGTTTTTTTAAGAGGTAAGGCCCGCTGGGCTAGTAGCAGACAAGAACTCTGAACGCGTGGTTCTAAATATGGAGGGAAAAACCGGAGGACCCGGAGACAAATCCACGCGACGACGGGGAGAACACGCAAACTCCAAATATACAGTCGTCAAGGTCGGGATCGAACCCACAACCTCCTGTATACCAGGCGAGGTGGTTAACATCTCCCGCAATCGCAATGTGGAATTTCCACCACTCGCTCTGCTCGGCTGCAAGCGGGAGATGAGCACCGATGCCACGATGTTCACTCGAGCAGGAAATCACTTTGATTGTTTTTTTCATGGCTACGCCCCGCTGATGAGTCGGTGAACCCAAAGCTCGTGCGAGGTGGCCTCACTCAATTAGCAAAATGTCACTGGAAAACATTAATCTGGAGAGAGTGCTTCGGCCAAATATTTAATGTTACTTCCTTTCACTTTTTACGACCAAAAATGCCTCTCGAGTCGAACACGAGAGAATGGGAATGTGTGCACTCTTGTCTGTGGGTGTGTGTGCCAATGTGTGTGTGTGTGTGCGTGCCAGCGCGTGTCTTTGTCTGGAGGGCGGTAGTGTCGTGGTTCGCGTGCTACGCTATGAACCCGGTGACCCGAGTTCGATTCCCGCTCATGGCCAATACCAGTGACTATTATCTGAAACGGTCCTGGGCTTGCCCTAGATCAGGGGTCGGCAACCAAAATAACAAGAAGAGCCATTTCTTTCCAATTCGGTACAAAATTCAGTATTTCAAGAGCCGCAATGCATCTGAGTACATACTGTACATACGTACATATCGTCAAGAAGCAGCCCGTAAAGAGCCGCATGCGGCTCCGGAGCCGTAGGTTGCCGACCCCTGCCCTAGATGGACTCGTTCCTCAAATGAGTACCTGGTGCAGTGTGTAAACATCCCCAATGGGAAGACAAAGGCGGCCGGGCGTGGCGCTGGCCACCCACCCCCTCGTGTGCCATGCCAGACTTCATCGGTGCACTTACCCCAAGTCTGTTCAAGCGATATGGGGCTCTTTGTCTTTGTGTCCCTGCGTGTGTGGGTGTCCCTGCGTGTGTGGGTGTACCGCATCACCGACACACGGGGGAGCGGTGGCGCAGTGGATAGCGCGACGCTGCGCTACGAACCCGGCGACCCTGGTTCAATTTCCCGCTCATGGGCATCATCGGCTGCAAAGGTCTCTCCCGATCCTGGGCCTCACACCCAGGTCGACTCAGCCTTGAATGAGTACCTGGTAGCGGTGTAATATTAAACAAGTGTGTTGAACCTCTTACGTAGCCAACTGCTAATCCGAAGTGCGGGGGGACACAAAAAGCAGTTCTAAAGAAATTAGTTTTCAATGTAGATGATTTAAAGTGCACAGCTCCGGCGGCTTCCTAAGAGCGTTCCAGACGGCCGCAGAAGCGCATCTGAAAGCGCCACGCGATGAGGTGACCATCTTTCGACAGAGGAGGAGGCCGGGTGTGATGCTGACCACACGACGCCCACTTCGTGCACCCCATCAGACCACGCAGGTGCTCGCTAACAGAACTTGGCACAACAGCCCGAGTCGGACTATCGGTGGGAAGAGATCTTTGTCATTGTGGCAGGTGTGCGTCGCTGGGTGTTGGAGTTTTGGTGTAACCGCACACCGCGAATCGCGGCTCGCGGAAACATCTGCAGCGGTCGGCTCTCGAATCAAAAACCTCCAGCGCCGCCGCCGCCGCCACGGCGCGAAACTCAACCCGACGGCGTGGAACAACAAACAGAGAACCCCGGCCGGAACGCGGGGCCATCGGGAGCCGTCACTCGCACGCTCGCTCGACCACAGAAGGCCGACGGGGACGGTGGACTCACCCAGCCGTCGCTCGCATCCTCGCCGTGACCACAAAGCAACGACCTCCGGCATGGTGGACTCACGCGGGGTGCCCGGCACACGCCACGGCCCTGACTCACACTCTGCTGCTGCTCCAGGGACTTGTTTTTGGCCGAGTCGACCTAGAGGAGGTGCTAATTCATGGCCAAGGATTTAACTTGGCCACGCACGCACAAGACAAAGATCCCCCATATAGCCTTCAACAGACTGTTAGGGCAAGTTCTGTTAGCGAGCACCTATGAAGGCCGTCACAGCGCACGAGGGGGTGGTTGGCCAGCACCACGCCCGGTCGCCTTTGTCTCCCTCGTGGGAATGTTTACACACCGCACCGGGTACTCTTTTGAAGCTGAGTCGACCTAGAGGAGGCTCAGCACTGGTTCAGATAATTGTCAGTGGTGTTGGCGGTGATCGGGAATCGAATTTGGGTCGCTGGGCTCGTAGCGCAATGCGCTAACCACTGTGCCACCGCTCCCCACACACACGCAGACACACACACACACGCGCGCAGACACACACGAGCACGCACACTGCAGTTCAAACACTGCCCTCATCACGCCGCCCCCCGCCCCCGCCGCCCCCAGATCAAAGCGTCTGCAAACACAACAGTGGAAGAGGAAATGTAAATAACCAATAACAGAGGAGACTCACATCGCTCGCCCATCAGCACCACCATCACCACGAACATCAATACCGTCAGCAAGAGCATCAACGCCATCAGCACGAAGATCGCTGCACACGGCGAAACGCACATCACCAACACACGCACACATCACCAACACACACACACACATCACCAACACACACACACACATCACCAACACACGCACACACATCACCAACACACATCACCAGCACACACACACACGTCACCAGCACACACACATCACCAACACACACAGCACCACACACCACACATCACCAACACACGCACACACATCACCAACACACGCACACACATCACCAACACACGCACACACATCACCAAACACACCACACACATCACCAACACACATCACCAACACACACACACACATCACCAACACACATCACCAGCACACACACACACGTCACCAGCACACACACATCACCAACCACACACGCATCACCAACACATGCACACACATCACCAGCACACACACAAATATCACCAACACACATCACCAACACACACACACACACACACATCACCAACACACACATCACCAGCACACACACACATCACCAACACACACACACACACATCACCAACACGCACACATCACCAACACACACACATCACCAACACACACACACATCACCAACACACATCACCAGCACACACACACACATCACCAACACACACATCACCAGCACACACACACACATCACCAGCACACACACACACATCACCAACACACACACACACACATCACCAACACACACACACACATCACCAACACACACACACACACACATCACCAACACACACATCACCAACACACATCACCAACACACACATCACCAACACACACATCACCAACACACACACACATCACCAACACACACACAATCACCACACATCACCAGCACACCCACCACACACAACACACACACATCACCAACACACACACACACATCACCAACACCACACCACCACACACACACACATCACCAACACACACACACATCACCAACACCACACACATCACCAACACACACACACATCACCAGCACACACAAAACATCACCAACACACATCACCAACACACACACACATCACCAACACACACATCACCAGCACACACACACACATCACCAACACACACACACACATCACCAACACACACACACACACATCACCAACACACACATCACCAACACACACATCACAACACACACAACATCACACACACACCACACATCACCAACACACACACATCACCAACACACACACACACCAGCACACACACAAACATCACCAACACACACACAAACATCACCAACACACATCACCAACACACACACACACATCACCAACACACACACACACATCACCAACACACACATCACCAACACGCACACACACACATCACCAACACACACACACATCACCAACACACACACACATCACCAACACACGCACACATCACCAACACACGCACATCACCAACACACACACACATCACCAACACACACACACATCACCAGCACACACACAAACATCACCAACACACATCACCAACACACACACACATCACCAACACACATCACCAGCACACACACACACATCACCAACACACACACACACACACATCACCAACACACACATCACCAACACACACATCACCAACACACGCACACATCACCAACACACACACACACATCACCAGCACACACACACACATCACCAACACACACACACACATCACCAACACACACATCACCAACACACGCACACACATCACCAACACACACACACACACATCACCAAACACACACACACACACATCACCAACACACACACACATCACCAACACACACACACACACATCACCAACACACACACACACATCACCAACACACACACGCATCACCAACACACACATCACCAGCACACACATCACCAACACACACACACACATCACCAACACACACATCACCAACACACACACACATCACCAACACACACATCACCAACACACACCACCAACACACACACACATCACCAACACACACACACATCACCAACACACATCACCAACACACACACACCACCAACACACACACACACATCACCAACATTACTGCACGTACATCACAACCTACGGCGCGATATATTAACACACACACATCACCACACATCAACATCACGACACGCATCACCTTCACTAAGACTTCCACTTGCACTCACTCTCACTAACACACTCACTAACACACTAACACACCCATTCACTCACTAACACACTCACTAACACACCCATTCACTCACTAACACACTCACTAACACACTCACTAACACACCCATTCACTCACTAACTCACTCACTAAGACACTCACTAACACACCCATTTACTCACTAACACACTCACGAGCACACTAGCACACTCACTAACACACCCATGCACTCACTAACTCACTCACTAAGACACTCACTAACACACCCATTTACTCACTAACACACTCACTAACACACTAACACACTCACTAACACACCCATGCACTCACTAACACACTCACTAAGACACTAACACACACACTAACACACTCACTAACACACTCACTAACACACTCACTAAGACACCCATTCACTAACACACCAATCACTAACACACTCACAAATACACACATTCACTCACTAACACACTCACTAACACACCCATGCACTCACTAACACACTCACTAACACACCCATTCACTCACTAACACACTCACTAACACACTCACTAACACACTCACTAACACACCCATTCACTCAATAACACACCATTCACTAACACACTCACAAATACACACATTCACTCACTAACACAAGACAAAGATCCCCCGTGTAGCCCGAACAGACTGTTAGGGCAAGTGCTGTTAGCGAGTAGCACCTATGAAGGCCGGCACTGCGGCACACGAGGGGGTGGGTGGCCAGCACCACGCCCGGCCGCCTTTGTCTCCCCAGTGGCGATGTTTACACACCGCACCGGGTACTCATTTGAGGCCGAGTCGACCTAGGCTCGCACCATGCACGCACAGCGCTCGCACGCGGCACGTGACCAGGGCGCCGCTGTCAGCCGCGGGGATCTCCTCTGCGGAGGGGGGCGGGAGGCTGGGGGCGGGGGGCGGGGGGCGGGGGGCGCGAATTTCAAATTTGTCTCCTCGCCGCACCCCCTCGCCGACTGAATACAACGAGAGAGAGGGAGGGGGTCGGGGGGGGGGTCGGTGGGGGGGGGTCGGTGGGGGGGGGTCGGTGGGGGGGCGTGGGTCGGTGCCCGGCTGGGAGGGTTTGGGGGGGGGGGCCGTGTAACGGCTCGTGGGAGGGGGGGGGGGGTAGGAAACTGCGCGCGATGACTCCACTGACTCCACTGAGCGGCGCGTCTCCCGCCCGCCCGCCCGCCCGCCTCTCCCTGCCACAACAATGAGGCTGTTTTGATTGCGATTTATGACATTCAATTCCACGTCCTTTATTTAAGCAGGTGACGGGGTCCCGGACAGATCCCTCATCTCTCCCGTCGGGGCGCGCGGAGGCGACTCGCGTCGGCGAGACGGCGGCGCGCCCAGTTCAACCACCGGGTCCCCCCCCCCCATCATCCTCCTGCCATCAACAACGCAGACAGCCTCCCATCGTTATCGTCATAATCATCATCCTCCTCCCATCCTCCTCCTCCTCCCATCAACAACGCAGACAGCCTCACATCCTCCCATAAACATTTCACGCAGTTCACCCAGGAGGTCCCATCCTCCAATCCCCACATCATCAATGCTCCCAGACTGACGTCCACACACAAAAAGACAAAGATCCCCCGTATAGCCTTAACAGACGGGTTTAGGCAAGTGCTGTTAGCGAGCACCTATTGAGGCCGGCACGGCACCCGAGGGGTGTGGCTGACCAATACAAACGCCCGGCCTCCTTTGGTCTCCCCAGTGCTGATTAGTTTATTGTACTCATTTAAGGCTGAGTCGACCTAAGGGAGGCCCAAGACCGCTTCAAATATTCCCCACTGTCATTGGTCTTGAGCGGGAATCGGGGCTCGAGTCGCCGTGTTCGTAGCGCCGCGCGCTAACCACTGCGCCACCGCTCCCCGCACACACGCACGCGCGTGCACGCGGGTGCACGCGCGCGCGCTCCGCACAGGCGCGGCTTTGATCGCAGGTGCGTTGCCGGCGGACATCAAAGGGCCCTCGCCTCCATTAACCCCCACCACTCCCCCTGCCCTCTTCCTCCATCTCTCAATTTCTCTCGCTCGCTCCACTTTCCTCTCAACAAGTCTCCCCGCTGCTCCCCCACCCCCCACGCCGCCACCGCCGCTCCATTGTCTGTCTCTGTCGGCTCCCCCCGTCCCCCCCCCCGGGTGTCTCCCCCGTGCCGCCGCCGGTCCCCTCCTCTACCCGTGCCCCCTCCTCTACCCGTGCCCCCTCCTCTCTCTCCCTCGATTCCTCCCCCCAGCACCACCACCACGTGCCTCCGCTCTCTCAATGGACCCCCCCCCCCCTCTCTCTCTTTCCTCTCTGCCCGTGCCACCCCCAATCTCTCGCCATGTTGGCCCTTCTCTCCCTGTGCAGCCCCCCACCCCCCTCTCTCTCCGTGCCACCCCTTGCCCCCTCGATTTCCCCTCTCTGCCCCCCTCTCTCTTCCCGTCTCTCTCTCGCTGTGTCGCCGGGCAGCTGAGCGAGCGGCCGCACGTGTGGTCCCCCTCTTGTGAGTAGGCTGCCAAGAGGCGGGGCGCCCACTTCCCCGCCACCGCCGCCGCCACCCTCCATTCATGGCAACAATCGGCTCTAATTGCCGGGCAAAACCAACACGGGGGAAGAACAACAACGCCAGGCGTGTGCCGGAGTCCGCGCACCGCGCCTGTCGCACGCACACTCGGGCCACGTGGCGACACCACACACCACCACCCGCACCACCACCACCCGCACCACCACCACCACCACCACCCGCACCACCACCACCACCACCCGCACCACACACCACCACCACCCACACACCGCACCACCACCACCCGCACCACACACCACCACCACCCGCACCACACACCACCACCACCCACACACCGCACCACCACCACCCGCACCACACACCACCACCACCCACACCACACACCACCACCACCCACACCACACACCACCACCACCACCTGCACCATACACCACCACCACCCGCACCACACACCACCACCACCACCCACACCACACACCACCACCACCCGCACCACCACCACCCGCACCACCACCACCACCACCATTCGCACCACCACCACCCGCACCACACACCGCCACCACCCGCACCACACACCACCACCACCCGCCCCACACACCACCCACACCACACACCACCACCACCCGCACCACCACCACCCGCACCACACACGACCACCACCCGGACCACACACCACCACCACCCGCACCACACACCACCACCACCCGCACCACACACCACCACCACCCGCACCACACACCACCACCACCCGCACCACACACCACCACCACCCACCACCACCACCCACACCACACACCGCCACCACCACCACCCACACCACCACCGCCACCACCACCCGCACCACACACACCGCCACCACCCGCACCACACACCACACACCACACATCACCACCCGCACCACACACCGCACGCCCGGTGCATACATGGCCGGTAGCTTTCCCTCTCTCCCCTCTTCGTACCTGTGTGCGGGGCTGATGGCCACTGACCACACGCGGTCCTGCGTGTCGATGGTGTGCAAACACTCGCTGCTCCGGTCGTTCAGCAGAGACCACACCTTCACACGCACACCACAACAACAACAACTGGCATTCACCACTAAGTGGCGGTGACATCACCGCGGTGTTTGTGCCAGGCTAGATGCACTCGGAGGCCACATGAAGTGTCAAAGACTCGCTGGCAGGAGGTCACGGGTTGACTGAGATGCCCACCTGTGCGGTGTTTTATCCACGTGGCGCTTCGCTCCTCTGCCCTCCGCTACTGTCGGAGGGCGACTGCCTCCAACTGTCCAATAGCATCCTTTACAAACAGCAGCAGCTTGGGCATGCGGTGGCTGGGCATGCGGGCTACATGACCCAGCCAACACAGCCTCGTCTGCCGGAGGAACTCACCGATGGGAAAGTGCCCATATCTTTTATGAATCTGTGAGCTCCTCACAAAATCCAGTCTGGTTCATCCCAGGATGGATCGCAGGCACCCATCCTGAATGTCCAAGCTGCCGCAGATATTTCCCTTTAAAGGGCTCCACGTTTCGCAAGCGTAGAGAATAGAGGGTGCAGCAACTGTGGCCGAGACGACCCGGAGCTTCGCATGGAGCAACAGGCCTGGCAGCTTCCACACAGCGTTACGCATCCGATGAAAAGATAATATACCATTTGACTGATTTGGAGTGAGATCTCCGCTGCCAAAACCGGAGCTGGCCACGAGCACACTGCCCAGTTAAGGAAACTCCTCCACCCTTTCCACAACCACCATTACTCACGGGGAGTTGAAGGGGCGCAGTGTTTGATGGTACAGCGCGCCCAGCCAGGTGTTTTGTTTTGGTGTGGCTGATGATAAGGCCTGGCCTCTTTGTGGCACGGAAAAGATAAAGATCCCCCGTATAGCCTCAGCAGACTGCTAGGGCAAGTACTGTTAGCGAGCAGCTGTGAAGGCCGTCACGGCACACGAGGGGGCGGGTGGCCAGCACCACGCCCGGTCGCCTTTGTCTCCTGAGTGGTTATGGTTGTGGTTAGGTTGGGTTAGGTGCTCGGGTTATTGTCAGGGTGGGTGTTAGGCTCACGATGAGTCTTATGGCCAGTGAGAGGGATAGCATTGTGGGTTATCGTTGCGTCACGCTCCGTATCGTTGGGGTGATGGTCCACAGGTGGGAAGCAGATGTCACAGAACTGCTTCTGAGATCCCTTCCAGTGGTTTGTGCTCCACATTGTGGGCACGGCACCTTCGCACACGGGGCTCGTGTGTGTGGGTTCAGTGTTCATGTAATGAGGGGCGACTGTGAGGGCGAGTGGTTGAGTGTGAGGGTGACGTTGAGGGTGAGTGGTTGAGTGTGAGGGTGATGTTAAGGGCGAGTGGTTGAGTGTGAGGGTGAGTGATTGAGTGTGAGGGTGACGATGAGGGTGAGTGGTTGAGTATGAGGGTGACGATGAGGGTGAGTGGTTGAGTGTGAGGGTGACGATGAGGGTGAGTGGTTGAGTGTGAGTGGTTGAGTGTGAAGATGAGAGCAAGTGGTTGAGTGTGAGGGTGACTATGAGTGAGAGTGGTGGAGTGTGAGCGTGCGGCCGTGGGGAGCCACCTTGGCCGTCTTGTCGCGCGAGCCGCTCACGATCACGTCCCTGCCGCTGTCGATGCAGTTCACCTGCTCCTCGTGTGCGGCCACCGCAAAGTGGTGGGCCCCGCACAGCGGCTGCACCACGATGCGCCCGTCACTGCGCACGCGACGGAGACAAACGACGCACGGCCCTCGTGAAGCCTGGACAGCCTCTAGGGGCACGTGCTGTTCGCGAGCGGCTGTGAAGGCCAGCGCAGCGCACAAGGGGGTAGGTGGCCACTACTACGTCCGGCTTCCTGTGTCTCCCCAACGCTGATGTCTACACATCAAGACCAAGTACTCATTTAAGGCTGAGCACACTTAGGGGAGGCCTAGGGCCGGTTCAGATATTCGTCACCGGTGTTGGCCGTGAGCGGCAATGAAACTCGGCCGGCCGGGTTCGTAGCGCGGCGCGCTAAACGCTGCACTACCATTCCCCCTACACACACACATGTCACACACACAGACGTCACACACACACATAGCACACACACACACCAACAACCGCCATTCACCACTAAGGGATGGCGACGTCACCACGGCACTTGTGCCATGCACTTTGAGGCCACGTGAAGCGTCTAAGGCCTGCTGGCCGGAGGTCATAGAACACTTCATACACAGACACACAGACATGCATACACACGTACACGCGCACAGCTACACATGCACATACGCAGACACACAGACATGCATACACACGTACACCCGCACAGCTACACATGAACATACGCAGGCGAACACACAAGCACACACACACACACGGATTTATTTGTGCTTGCCTCTGGCCTGATTTCTATCCGGTTGTCTCTACTCTGATTTCTGTTTGCTTCATTGTTGCATCTCAGTTGTTATCGTTTCGCTTTTACGGTGTTGGTGACCCTGGTCACTCTGGACACACCACGTGGGTCTTCCCGATCCTGGTCCCTCGAGCGCTCACCTGGTCACTCTGGACACACCACGTGGGACTTCCCGCGTGTGCAACCGGCCCAGCCACTTAGCTGCCAGCGGCTGCCCCCCAGGGGAGAGCGAGGGGACAGGGTCGGCACAACGAGAGAGAGAGAGCGCGGGGAGAGTGCGGGGAGAGTGAGGGGAGAGCCAGGGGAGAGTGAGGGGAGAGCCAGGGGAGAGTGAGGGGAGTATGTGGTGAGCGCGTGGTGAGTCTCAGGGAGGGCGAGGATAGATCATGGTGAGAGCAAGGGGAGAGAGTGGGGGGAGAGCGGGGAGAGCAAGGGGAGAGAGCGGGGAGAGAGTGGGGGGAGAGAGGGGAGAGCAAGGGGAGAGAGTGGGGAGAGAGCGGGGAGAGAGTGGGGAGAGAGTGGGGGGAGAGTGGGGAGAGAGTGGGGGGAGAGCGGGGAGAGAGAGGGGAGAGAGTGGGGGGAGAGCGGGGAGAGAGTGGGGAGAGAGTGGGGGGAGAGTGGGGAGAGAGTGGGGAGAGAGTGGGGAGAGAGCGGGGAGAGAGTGGGGGGAGAGCGGGGAGAGAGTGGGGAGAGAGTGGGGAGAGAGTGGGGGGAGAGTGGGGGGAGAGCGGGGAGAGAGCGGGGAGAGAGCGGGGAGAGAGTGGGGAGAGAGTGGGGAGAGAGTGGGGGGAGAGCGGGGAGAGCAAGGGGAGAGAGTGGGGGGAGAGCGGGGAGAGAGTGGGGAGAGAGTGGGGGGAGAGCGCGGGGAGAGTGAGGGGAGAGAGTGGGGAGAGAGTGGGGGGAGAGCGGGGAGAGCGAGGGGAGTATGTGGTGATAGCGTGGTGAGTCTGAGGGCGAGTGAGGGGAGAGCGAGGGGAGAGCGAGGGGAGAGCGAGGGGAGAGCGAGGGGAGAGCGAGGGGAGTATGTGGTGATAGCGTGGTGAGTCTGAGGGCGAGTGAGGGGAGAGTGCGGTGAGAGCGAGGGGAGAGCGAGGGGAGAGCGAGGGGAGAGCGAGGAGAGAGCGAGGGGAGAGCGAGGGGAGAGGGTAGCCACATTCCCGGTGGCCCGCGTGTCGAGCTTGACGCGTGCCCGGGATGCCAGCTGATTTTGGTGGAATGCCGGCGATACGCGCGCGCGTGTGAACCCACTAACACACACACATGCACGTGTGTACTCACTAACACACGTACGCACATACACACGTGTGAATACACTAACACACACACACACGTGTGAACTCCCTAACGGCTGTATGCTTCCGTGTTGTTACACAGATGTACAGCCACTCCTGTCATGGTAACGTGGAATTTCCCTCACTGATTGCAATTTCTGAAAGAGGACAACCCAGTGCTCATTTCATTTCACAAGGGCCGAGCAATGCGACCTCCATCATCCATCAACATCGACCTCTGACCTCACGACGTGTGCACTGAACCGTCCAAGTCACCATCGGTGACTATACATAACACTGCTGCTGCTGCTCCTGCTGCTCCTGCTGCTCCTGCTGCTGCTGCTCCTGCTGCTGCGCCTTCTTACCCATAACAGCCTCACTGAGGAATTACAAGACTCGTTTTCAGGAGGGTCATGCCAATTTTCCGCAGGATTTGGGGCAATGTTGCTGCTGTGATCTGTCGGCGCTGGGACTTGGGTTTGGCTAATACCAGTTGCATTGTGGGTGTCTTTAGTGACGAGAGTAAACTGGAGAACTCAGATGAAACCCATGCAGAACAGCGGGAGAACACACAAACTCCACTCACTCACGCACTCTGCAAAACAGGGGGAGAACACACAAACTCCACTCACTCGCACACACTCTGCAGAACAGGGGGAGAACACACAAACTCCACTCACTCACACTCACTCTGCAAAACAGGGGGAGAACACACAAACTCCACACACTCACACACACTCTGCAGAACAGGGAGAGAACACACAAACTCCACACTCACTCACACTCACTCTGCAGAACAGGGAGAGAACACACAAACTCCACTCACTCACACTCACTCTGCAGAACAGGGGGAGAACACACAAACTCCACTCACTCACACTCACTCTGCAGAACAGGGGGAGAACACACAAACTCCACTCACTCACACTCACTCTGCAGAACAGGGGGAGATCACACAAACTCCACACACTCACACACACTCTGCAGAACAGGGGAAGAACACACAAACTCCACTCACTCACACTCACTCTGCAGAACAGGGGTAGAACACACAAACTCCACTCACTCACACTCACTCTGCAGAACAGGGGGAGATCACGCAAACTCCACACACTCACACACACTCTGCAGAACAGGGGAAGAACACACAAACTCCACTCACTCACACACACTCTGCAGAACAGGGGGAGAACACACAAACTCCACACACTCACACACACTCTGTAGAACAAAGGGAGAACACACAAACTCCATACACTCACACACACTCTGCAGAACAGGGGGAGAACACACAAACTCCACTCACTCACACTCACTCTGCAGAACAGGGGGAGATCACACAAACTCCACACACTCACACACACTCTGCAGAACAGGGGGAGAACACACAAACTCCACTCACTCACACACACTCTGCAGAACAGGGGGAGAACACACAAACTCCACTCACTCACACACACTCTGCAGAACAGGGGGAGAACACACAAACTCCACTCACTCACACTCACTCTGCAGAACAGGGGAAGAACACACAAACTCCACTCACTCACACTCACTCTGCAGAACAAGGGGAGATCACACAAACTCCACACACTCACACACACTCTGCAGAACAGGGGGAGAACACACAAACTCCACTCACTCACACACACTCTGCAGAACAGGGGGAGAACACACAAACTCCACTCACTCACACACACTCTGCAGAACAGGGGGAGAACACACAAACTCCACTCACTCACACTCACTCTGCAGAACAGGGGAAGAACACACAAACTCCACTCACTCACACTCACTCTGCAGAACAGGGGGAGAACACACAAACTCCACTCACTCACACACACTCTGCAGAACAGGGGGAGAACACACAAACTCCTCTCACTCACGCACAGTGCAGAACAGGGGAAGAACACACAAACTCCACTCACTCACACACACTCTGCAGAACAGGGGGAGAACACACAAACTCCTCTCACTCACGCACTCTGCAGAACAGGGGAAGAACACACAAACTCCACTCACTCACACACACTGCAGAACAGGGGGAGAACACACAAACTCCACTCACTCACACACACTCTGCAGAACAGGGGGAGAACACACAAACTCCACTCACTCACACACACTCTGCAGAACAGGGGAAGAACACACAAACTCCACTCACTCACACACACTCTGCAGAACAGGGATAGAACACACAAACTCCACACACTCACACACACTCTGCAGAACAGGGGGAGAACACACAAACTCCTCTCACTCACACTCACTCTGCAGAACAGGGGGAGAACACACACACTCCACTCACTCACACTCACTCTGCAGAACAGGGGGAGAACACACAAACTCCACTCACTCACACACACTCTGCAGAACAGGGGGAGAACACACAAACTCCTCTCACTCACACTCACTCTGCAGAACAGGGGGAGAACACACAAACTCAACTCAATCACATACACTCTGCAGAACAGGGGGAGAACACACAAACTCCACTCACTCACACTCACTCTGCAGAACAGGGGGAGAACACACAAACTCCACTCACTCACACACACTCTGCAGAACAGGGGGAGAACACACAAACTCCACTCACTGACTCACTCTGCAGAACAGGGGGAGAACACACAAACTCCACTCACTCACACACACTCTGCAGAACAGGGGGAGATCACACAAACTCCACTCACTCACACTCTGCAGAACAGGGGGAGAAGACACAAACTGCACGCAGAAAGGCGCCCTCGTCAGGAATCGAACCCAGCGGCTTGTTAGCAGTGGGCCCCCCCCCCCCCACGTGCGTGCCCCCCGCGCCTGGCTGGTGTCTACGTTTGTTCCGCTGCTCGGCGGTCTCCCTGTGATCTTCAGCGCAACAGTTTGTGCGTGTGTGATTAGCGGCTAATGGCACTGTGATTATCCAAATCAGTTTTGTCTCCTTGTTTGAATATAACCGCGGTGGTCGAGGCGCCGTGCCACCGTGAGCGTCGTCGTCATCGTCGCGGGGCTCTTCCACTCGTGCGTAGACAGCCGTGATGAGCCCCACTGATTGCGATCCAACAGCTGCTCCCTCTTCTTGACCATGTGCACAGTTCCAGGAGATTTCCCTTTTTTGGTACTGCCAAGGGCACAGTTAACTGGGATGTAGTCGTAGTAGTAGTATTACTATTCTTATTTTTCTCCGGAGATGTACATCTCTACGTTACCTTCAATTAGCACGGTTGGCTACGTACGGTGCGAACGAAGATCAATATACACACATATAACTTACACTCGTGTTAAGATTCTGCACCTCATGCGTTCTGGTTCCACTCGCCCACTCACTGGCGGTTAGTCACCTCCCTCTCTCTCTTCTATTGCTGCTGCTGCTACCGTGGTTACCGCTCCCGCCAACTTCACTCATAGAGTGCTCCACCCACGGACTGTTTAGCCTCACCCAAACTCTCTTCATCCACCACCACACTGCAGGTCGCAACAACTCAGTCACCCACTCACTCGCTCCCTTGCCCACTCGCCGGTGGTGACGGTGGAGGTGGTGATGGCGGTGGGGATTGTGGAGATGGCGGTGGTTATCGTGGTGACTGGTGGTGGCGATTGTGGAGATGGTGGTGGTGGCGATGGGGGTGGTGGTGACGTCACCTGCCGCCACTAACGAGGTGTCCCCTGTTGATGACGAACTGGCAGACGTCGTCGCGGTGGCCGCGGTAGAGGCGCACGGGCCGGCGGTCGGGGCGCCCGCCGGCGCCGCGACGTGCGTGCAGCCGCAGGGCGAGCACCTCCTCGGCCTGCGACACGAACAGCGCCGCGCCGCCCTCCTCCAGCTGCAGCCAGGGTAGCAGGCTGCACGCGGACACACGACCCTGCCTTGACGTGCGGCCAACGCGCCATCACTGGGGCGCGTCACTCTCAAGCTCGCAACTCAAACGTGGACGGCGCGTGGGGGGCACGGCGGGGGGGGGGACGGTGGGGGGGGGGTGGACGGGGGGGGGGGGTTGGACGGCGGGGGGGGGTGGACGGTGGGCGTGGCGAGCTGGCGCCTGTGACCGTACTTGTGCCGCCAACGCAGCAGGGACTCGCGCTGGCACCGACCTCGCCGCCAGTTCTGGGAGACTCGGACTCTCTCCTTCAGCGGCATGCGCACGCACCTGGGGGCACACACACACACCGCCACGGGCAGAGGTGAGACACACACCTGGAGACACACCTGGGGGACACGGCAAAAACCTCGAGACAAAAGACACCTTGAGATAAGAGACACACCTGGAGACACAAGAGACACCTGGGGGATATGAGACATATGGGAAGAACACAAATAAAATCAATGGTGGTGATGTCAGCGTGGCAGCTGTGCCAGGCTAGGTGCACTTGATGGCCACGTGAACAGGGCACGCACAGAGCACACAGCGTGGCTCGCTGAGCCCACCACTGTGGAGTTCCTAACAGCAGCTCCAACACCAGGGCAGGGCCCTGGGGGGCAGAGGCAGGGGGGCATCAAGGCTCGGGGTCGTGGCCGTGGAGTCGTAGCCATGGGGTCGTGGCCGTGGGGTCGTAGCTGTGGGGTTGTGGGGTGTGGGATGTGGGAGTTGTGTCGGTGAGGATGTGGCTGTGATTGCGACTATAGGGTTACAACTGTAGTGTTGCGGCCATGGGGTTGTGGGGTTGTGGAGTTGTGGCTTCAGGGGGTGGAATCCTTCCCTCGACGGCGCCCCCGCAGACCCAGTGCCCCGAGTTTACCGCGCGAGAGAATTCAGAGAAATGCGCGTTTCTGACGTTTTTAATTACGGCCAGGCTCATGTTAATCGCGTTCACGGCGCGCCACGATCTGACACAGAGGGCAGCGAGGCCTGAGAATGTTGGCTGTGCCAGGAATGAGACGGCGTCTGTTCAGGAATGACAGCCCAGATATAGCCACAGCCATAGTCCTAACCACACAACCACGATCGCACAACCTCAATCCCACAGCCACATTCCCCATGGTGACAACAGTCATAACCACAACACCCAAAGCTACAACCCCCATAGCCACAATACCCATAACCACAACACCCAGAGCCACAACACCCAGAGCCACAACACCCATAACCACAACACCCATAACCACAACACCCATAACCACAACACCCATAACCACAACACCCATAACCACAACACCCATAACCACAACACCCATAACCACAACACCCATAACCACAACCCCCAGAGCCACAATCCCAACAGTGTGCATGGCTGGATGGAGAAATGTGTCTTGTGTCTTAGTGCCTTCGTGCACTCTGTCTGCTTGTCTACCGGTCTGTCTGTGTGTATGTGTGTCTGTGTGTCTGTGTGTCTGTGTGTGTGTCTGTGTGTCTGTGTGTATGTGTGCGTCTGCCTATTCCATCTGATACAGATGCAATGGAAGGCTGAACGATGCACAGGTGCAGTCGATGAACAGCTCCCAACCATGTTGTGTATGCTCATCTGCTAATTGCCACTCACTCTGAGAAGGAGTTGGAGACTCTGCTGCTGAAGCTGGAGAGTGTCACTAAGAGGTGGAGCCTTTCCATCAGCTCCACAAAAACAAAGCACCTGCTTGGGTATTTTGTGCTATCAAATACTCTACCTCCATCAGCTCCCCATGAGTAATGGGGTAGTTGTGGAGAGAGAGTGGAGGAGTTCGCATACCTGGCCTGTGTGCTTATAACAGGCAGCAGAGGTCTCACTCAGTCAAACAGCATTCTTGTCATCGACTGCGTAACGCTGTTGTGTGGAAGCTGCCTTCCCATCGCTCCACACGAACCTCTGGGTCTTCTTGGCCACAGTCACGCCCTCCCTTCTCTACGCTTGCTAAAGGTGGACCCCTCTAATGGAACATCTGCACCAGTGAGAAATATTCAGGCTAGCCTGCCTACGATCCATCCTGCTTTTGACCAGGCTGGATTGTGTGAGGATCTCACAAAACCTTTAAATATTTGTGCACAGTCCCATCACTGAACTCCTCCGGCAATCAAGGCAGCGTTGGCTGGGTCACGTAGCCTGCATCTTCAGCCACTGCATGCCCAAGCAGCTTTTGTTTGGTGGGATAGTGGGGGCTAAATGGGTGCGGCACGGGCTGGATAATACATGGTACAGCAGCATGTGGAGCTGAGTAGACTTGCCGATGACTTGTACCAGCAGTGTCAAGATTGGCTCTGTGGAGGAGGTTCGTGAAGGATGCTACGAGGCAGTTGGAGGCAGTCACCTTCCAGCAACAGCAGAGGGCAGAGAAGCGACGCTCACAACAATGAGCGGAGCGCCGGGTGGATAAAACGCAGCAAACTGGCACAGTGGGAAGTACAGGCGGTGCATCTTCCAGTCATCTCTGTCAACCCATAGCGCCTGGATCTGTCAGCGAGCCTTCGACACGTCACGTGGCCTCAAATTGCACCGAGGCTGACACAAGCGCCGTGGTGACGTCACCGCCGCTTGCTGGCGAATGGCGGCTGTTGTCGTTGTTGTGTTGTCGTTGTTTCCGTTGTCGCTGCTGCTGCTGCTGTGTCTACCTGTGTCTTTGCGTGCACAGGGAGATCATTGTCTCGAATATCGAACGTGCAAAGTAACCTGCGCAGGGCCCGGGCCCCCGGCCTCCAGCCCCCACACCTGCAGCCTCCGGCACGGTTCAAGGCAACGCGCAGCTGATAACATTCATCGAAACAAAATAACAGCGGCCCGTAAAAGGGAAACGATCGGGTGAATGTATAATAGCGTCTCGTATAAAAACCCTGAATAAGTCGTTCTGTATCAGCAATTAAACGGTAACCTTGAGACCGGGGTGCGCGCAGGCCCAACCCAGTCGCCATCGCCCTCCTCAGTCGTCACCCCGCGAGCGTCGTCCCTCGCGGTCCGTGGCGAGCGCGTGCCCTGGGTGGCGTCGCGTGGGGGTGTCACGCCGACCGGAGCTCTGCGCCCTCCACCACCCAGCGCCCGTCGAACAGAACGAGTTGTGTCACTTGGAGAAACCCGTCGCTTGATTTCGGGTTTAGAGGAGAGTGGGCTGTGGAGGAGCCCATGCCAGGATTGTCGATAGTACATTTGCTGGTTCACTGGGAAAATCCCAAATTGCCTGGCGCAATTGTCATCGTCATTATCAACACAATCAAACCAATCATCATCGACAAGATCAACGTCATCATCATGATCAAAATCATCAACACAATCTTCAGCTATCACAAGCATCATCATCACCATCAACACCATCACAATCATAAACATCATCACTATCACGGTCATAAACATCACTGTCATAAACATCATCAGTATCACCGTCATAAACATCATCACTGTCATAAACACCACCACCACCATTCAGGATTGCGGTTCAACAATCGACTCCTCAACACATTATCTACTGCTGCTGCACTGGCATTACTGTACTATTATGATAGACTTTGATGATGATTATAGACTCTGATGATTATTAGTATCCGCTCTCCCTCTATGAAACGGGTTGCACGTGCACCACGGGCGACAGTCGTGAACTCTTGAACGCATCGCTGACGTGACACATCCCGGGAATTACCGACAATCGGCAGGTCAGCGACACGCAAATGTTGCGTGACGAGACAAATGGGAATGATCCCAACGGCAGAGAGACAAGACGAGGGGCAGAGAGAGTGAGACACAGGACTAGCGAGAAGGACATGCAGACGAGGTGAGACACTTGTTTATGCTGTCGAATCGCGACCTCCAAACGAGACGAGCTGTCGAACCGCTGAGGTGGTGAACGTGCTCTGCCAGACACAAAGACAAAGATCCCCCGTTAAGCCTCTCACAGACTGTAGGGGCAAGTGCTGTTAGCGAGCACCTATGAAGGCCGAACCGGTACACGAGGGGGTGGGTGGCCAGAACCACGCCCGACCGCCTTTGTCTCCCCAGTGGCAATCTTTACACACCGCACCAGGTACTTATTTGAGGCCGAGTCGACCTAGGGGAGGCCCAGGACCGGTTCAGATAATCGTCACTGGTGTTGGCCCTGAGCGGGAATCGAACTCGGGTCGCCGGGTTCATAGCGCAGCGCGCTAACCGCTAGACTACCGCTCCCCCAGACACACACGCACACACGCGCGTACACACAAACACACACACGCACACACGCACAGACACACATGCACAGACGCACAGACACACAGACGCACACAAAGATCCCCCCTAGAGCCTTAAAACAGGCTGTTGGGGCAAGTACTGTTAGCGAGTAGCACCTGTGTACCTTCGTAGCGCAGCGCGCTAACCACTGCGCAAAAGGCTCCCTCCATGCACACAGACACGCAGAGCTAACCCCCCAGTCATACACTCCCAAGTGTCTCCTTCCTTCCTGAGCTCCCAGGTCCCCTGGGCCCCGTGACCTCCGTGACCCCCTGATTCCCGTGGGGGAAGGGGAGGCGGGAGGGGGCGTCACGCCGTGTCAGCGCCACACGCCCGGGCTCTTGACCCGTCCGGAGGAGTTTGACCCCCAACCCAGGCCACTACGGAATCGCTGATTGCTTCCCCTGCCAACTCCATCTCCCAATTTGTCGTCCCCGCACTGTGATCGCGGAGCCGTGAAGCGGGAGGGAGGCCCTGTGACCCGAAGGGACCCGAGACCCCAATTTAAGAGGGAACCTGACACCCTGGCCTCAAAGGGACCTGGGACCCCCAATCTGAAGAGGGGACCTGGAACCCCAATCTAAGTGTGGCCCGGGGGACGACAGCGTGAAAGGGCAACTGTGACCCCAGCCCCAGCGGGAACCTGGGCCCCAGTCCACGAGGGGACCTGAGAGGAGCCCGGGGTCCCACACGCCTGGGGCCCCGGGGGGGTCGCTCCACAACAGCACAGCCGGCCGGGGTACAATCCCACAAATTAATGACCGCACTCTACTAATTACAGTACACCCTTAATTACCAATTAGCAGGGCTTTGATCTCTCACTGGATATGTTCCGGATCGCTGTGTAGACTGGACTAGGTAGGCACCTGACGAGCAGCAGCCCCAGCCATGGTGAGACATATCGTGGATGTGGGTGTGGTGTGCCGGGTGTGGAAATATTTTCACCGACCAAGACAGCCCGGGCTGAAATCAACCTCTGAAGTTACCCCCACATCTCTCGCTCTCCTCACCTATCTCCGACTCTCAACTCTCACTCCTCATCATCTCACTCTCACTCTCCCCACCTCATCTCTCCGCCACGCCTCCCTCTCTCTCTCTCGATCTCCAGTTAGTAATTGCCCATTCCTACACAATCATCGCGCTCCAATCACCTGGTGCACAACCTTCACCGACGACGTGAGAGAGCCACACTCGCAGCGCCGCCGAGGTGTAAGCTCGGCCATTATGTTCCTGTTGATGAAGCCGATACGTAGAGGAGGAGGTAGGGGGTGGTCTATAAACGGGGGGGGGGGGCACGGTGATTGAGAGTCGCAGGGGGAAGGGGTGGGATAGAGGTTGCACCTGGGCCCCCAGTCACAGGGCGTTAACCGCTAATTGAAAAGGCAGGGTTAGGGTAGGGGGTCATGTTTGTTTTGGGGGGGTGAGGGGTTTGCCCCCCCCACCCACCACAACACCTCCCGTGGGTCTTGCCTGGAGGCAGAGATGGAGAAAGAGGAGAGAGAGGGAGGGGGGGGGAGACGAGAGGGGGGGGGGAAGAGAGGGGGGGGCTGGAAGAAGAGACAGGAAACAGAAGAGGAGGAAGAGGATGGAGAGAGGAGAGGGGAGCGTGGTGAGAATAGACGAGGGAGATGGTGAGAACCAAGAGAGAAGCGAGGAGATACAGAGGGAGACAGGCGAAAGGTAAGAGATTAAGTTCACCCAGGTCGGGTTGATGGCGCGGGATTATATAGCGGCACCCAGCATACCACATCAAGTGTACCCCTCTCTCACACGATGGCTACAGCTGCGAGTCACGTGCCACCTACTCCAGTCTGCCGGGCAGCCGAGGCAAGTTCAGTGAGAAGTTAAGCCCTGGGAGAGAAGAATGCGAGCACAGAGAGGAGAGATCGACGGAGACTTTCGTCAAGAGGGGCAGAGGAAAGAGGGAGAGAGAGAGCGAGAGAGGTAGGAGAGAGGATGAGAGCGAGGAGAGTGGAGAGCAGGCAGGGGAGAGGAGCAAGTGGGCGAGGGAGATGGGGGGGGGAGAGAGGGGGGGGAAGGTGGGGGGGGCCCCGTGTCTGCGCCCCGGGGCCTCTCTCACGCCGAGGAGCGACGCGCTCCCGTGCGCGTCCCTCCTCACCTCCGCTGACCCATACCGCCCGCGGGGAGTTCCCACCGCCCGCGGGGGCCCCCACCCCCGGGCCCCCACCCCCGGGCCCCCACCCTGAGGCCCCTAAACCCGCTTGCCCATTAGTCAAGCTGTGAAGACTCGAGTGCTTGAAGTTAGTCGCATTAACCACATTTTTATTTTATTTTAGACCGAGTCGAACTGGGGGAGACCCAGGGCAGGTGAACACCGCTCGCCACGGATGTCGAACCCGGGTGGGCAGGAGAGGAGCGCTGTGCGCGAACCACGCCAACGCTCCCTCCACATATAGAAGCGTACAGCCGACGATGCCCCGTATCGACTTGAGAAGACTGCTGGGGCAAGTGCTGTGAGCCTGCGTCTATGACAGTCGACAAGGCGCACGAGGGGTGGTGGTGTGGCCAGCACCACGCACGGCCCCATTTGTCTCCTCGGTGCTGATGTTTACACACCGAACCAGGTACTCATTTAAGGCTGAGGTCCAGGACAGGTTCAAATATGCACCACTGTTTATTGGTAATAAATGGGAATCGAACTCTGGTCGATGAGTTCAAAGCGCAGCACGCTAACCACTGCGCCACCGCTCCCTCGTATACTCTATGAGGCACTCAAATACACACACACAGATAAACATCCCCCTATACCCTTAATAGCCTGTTGGGGGGGAAACACACCTACTCACGTGCTCAAACGTACACACACATACGTGTACACACAGTGGCACGCCAAGATTAGACTTGCACATCCGCTCGCTGCCACGTGTTCGCCGCCATCGCTGTCTCATCACCATCACATGTCCTCCACGCTCACCAGCAAAACAGAGTCATCGTGAGGCAGCAACATCACCCATCGCAAGAACCACCATCAGTACGCTCAGACACCATCACCAGGACCAAGCCATCACCACGATGCTCCCATCACCATCACGATGAAACCGTCACTCTCACGATGATTTATCCCACCATCACTACCCTCGGTATAAGTCAAGCACCTCACCATGACCATCACCACGGATTTCCCTCCACCAACAACACAATTCCACCACAATCACCAAACCCCCCACCATTACCATCCCCACAACCCCATCACCAAACCCCTACCATCACCACCCCCCACCATCTCATCTCCAAACCCCTACCATCACCATAAACCGCACCATCACCACATCCCCCCACCACCATCACCACCACCATCACCACACTAACTCCACCAGCCCTCCATCACGGTCAGCGCGAGACCCCGCGGCGGCTGCGGCGACGGCTCGCAGCTGAGGAGGCCGCGTGGCGTTGCGGCGCGATGGATGTAATTGCCTCCCAGCGCAGATTTCATTTCACTTAATTACATAGAAACACACAAACACGGCCAACACACGGTAACAACGGGGCGGAGAGCCACGAGTCGGGGGGGGGGTCGGGGGGAGGCACGCGTGGTGCATCACCCCCCCCCCCCCAACACTCATCATCACTGTCTCCCCACCATCACCCCCCTCCCCCAATAATCACCATCCATCACGAATCTCCCAACCGTCATCCTCATCGCAATACCCCCACAGTGACTTGTTCCTAAAACACACCGCCACGTGGCCCAGGTGTGGTGGCTCCTGGGATGGCACGTGTGATCAGCCCCCCGCCCCCCCGTAGTGTCAGAGGGGGGCTCGAGGCTCAGATCCCCTCCCCCCATTCTAAATTCTCAAGTCACGTGATGCACAAACTATTTGCAATGGTTAGATGTGGCTTGATCACGTGTTTAAGCAACCTCTGGACCTATTTTATTTAGTGTTTGGCATTCATTCAAAGTGTGTTTAGCAATGATGGCGCAGTGCCTCCACCCTGAGTTTCTGTATATTCCCTCCCACTTTAAACTTTCGGTGGGGGGGGGGGGGGTGTACAAGCTTGAGGCAGGGGTTAGTGGATCACGTGGAGATCTGTGAAACTTGTGAATCGTTTTCTCGGCTGCGAGGTGGTGGCCAGGAAGGGAGATGGGGGCTGTATAACAGGTTGGATTTGTGAACCCGTATGTGTGGAACTGTCAGTGTACAAAACAGCTCGATGTATCAATCTGGGGAGGATTTATGGATACTGCGGCTTCCACGCGCAAATATTCAACCTCCTTAACGCGCACCTGTACTTAGATGGGAGACTGTCTGGAAACAGCAGGTGTTTTGGCCTTAAGTTGTGAGGTGGGCATGAGATGGCAGTACATATAAGATTGCATGATTCCCTGTGTGAGGCGCTTTGAGCTGTAACCCCTCGTATAGAGCGCGGTGCTGGGTTTTCTCCGGATCCTGCGATTTCCACAGTCCCATTCATTCAACTGTCTAAGCATTCAAATGTAGCGGCAGGACCCTCCTGCAAACCAGCGTCTTGAGACTCCGTGAGGCTTTGCGGGGTGTAAACGCGAGCCACTGCTGCGTGACACCGCGCACGCGAAACGCCGCGAGAACTCAGCGGCGCCGTCGACGAGACGGAGCACGTGGTGGGCGCGGCACCACGTGACCCGCTCCGACGTCTCGCCGGGAGCCCGCCCACAGCGCCACGTGACCAGACCGGCCCCGGCCCCCGAAGCCGCACGTGATCGCGCTGGACCAATGGCGAGAACTCCCGGGCAGAACCGGGGGTTGGGCGGCGAGAGGAACTCGGGGGGGGGCGCGTGGTTCCTCACCGGTCCGTGCCGTCGTGCGTGATGCCCGTGTTGATGGACATGCGCGCCACGCGCCTCCACACGCAGTCGCGGCCGCACAGGCGCCTCAGCTTCCCGCTCGCCTGCGCCACGCGGCCGAGCGAGCGCGCGTCCAGGTAGGAGAGCAGGAGGAACACGATGTCGTCGGGCAGCTCCAGCAGCGACATGGGGCCCTCGCGGGCCCCCGCGGCGTCGGCCTCGCCTGGAATCGCGCCGTCCCGCGTCATCGCGTTGGCCGCCGGGCCGCGCGTGCGAACAGGCCTCGGCGAGGGCAGCCCCGCCGAGGCCACGCCCATCGCCAGGACCCCAACGCGTGGCCCCGCCCACTCTGCACAGCCCCGCCCCTCTCTACAGCCCCGCCCCTCTATAAAGCCCCGCCCCCTCTCTACAGCCCCGCTCACTGCACAGCCCCGCTCCTCTCTACAGCCCCGCCCACTCTGCACAGCCCCGCCCCCTCGCTCCGCTCGCGTGCTCAGGTTTGGCGTCAAACTGCGGGTGGAAGGGGCGGGGCGGGGGGTGTAGTGGGGGGGGTAGTGGTGGGGGGTGTAGTGGGGGGGGTGTAGTGGGGGGGGGGGGTAGAGGGGGGGGTGTAGGGGGGTCGTTCAGTGACGGGGACTTCCACTCGTAAACACAAAGTGGTGGTAACTTGGCTTTGCGTCGCGAACACAAGATCCGTGTCATTGGGCGAGGGCCCACGTGGTGGTGGTGGTGTTTATGCCAAAATTCGTTTCGTCAACCCTCCACCACCCGACTCACTTGTGAGGGGAAACATGTTTTTTCTTTCCACAGTTTGATAAATAAAAAAACATCCCAAGAGCTAATGATGTTGGCGTGATGTTTATTGCTGTTGTTGTTCATTTGTTGATGTTTGCTTTTTCAACAATGCCAAACAAAGTGCGGCTTCGAGCCAGGCGTGGCCCTGCATGACACGCAAGCGTCTGTTTAAAGACTCGGGAGCCAAAACACGGAGTTTTAAGCCTTGATGAGATAAATAACAATAAAGACACGGTGAGGTCGATCACTGAGGGTCCCAAAACGACGACCCACTAGATTATGTACCGACCTGATTGACGTTTTGGGTGGCATCTTATTGGGGCAAGCTCTGGAATGGTTTCGACTTCTGTTGAGGGCCCGTCGGTAAATGTCCCCGCCCATGGAACTAGAGGAGAGGCAATGCCCGTGAACTGTGGCACCTTCGCACGAATAAACAGCCTCCCGAGCACAGGGAAAACGCCGTGAACCACCATGACCCAGACAACACCGACAGCTGAAGGGAGGAGGCCATGGGTCATGGGTTTAAGGGTCTGGCCACCCCAGATCGTAGCCATGAGGTGGTCTCCCAGCACCATGTCTGTAGGGGACTGAAGCTGCCAACTCTCCGGACGCTGCCGATGAACACTCGAGAGACACGGAGAGGAACCGGCAAGGATGTCCCCCGTGCCGCCACCACCACCGGGACCACGTCCGCAACGCTCACGCCAGCTGATCACGCAGAGTCGGCAGTTTAGTAAAGAGGTTTAATAATATGCAATAATAATAATTATATACAATAAATATTTGGTGAGGGCAAGGCAAACCCGTCGTTCGGTAAAAAAAAAAAACGCGATATAAAATACAGCAGCAGAAAGAGTCGATCCACGGGGTCAAGAACACGGTGCAGAGAGGCCGGACCTCCTGGCCTGGCACGTCCAGGTGTGGCCAGGTGTGGCCAGGTGTGGCCAGGTGTGGCCAGGTACGACCAGAAGTCTCCCCCCACCCCACCCCACCTCGATAGTCATACACATGTTACCTACACACTCGTCCAGAGGTAACTGGGTACTCATTCATCCGGGTGTACCCAGGTACTCGTCCGGATGTACCCACACACAACTCGACCAGGTGTAGCCTGCTACTGATCCAGATGTACCTGGGTAGCCATCCGCATACACCAACTTATCCACGCACCTCCGATGACCACGGTTGGTGGTTCAACATACATCCAGATGTACTGTACTCGTCCGGATGTGATTGGGGACTTATTTGTACCCAGCTAACAACAAAAGTACCCCCTATACTCAAATACCCAAGTGACCTTGCCAACCCTACCACCGGGCAGGTGGGTGGGTAGGTCAATAGTTGGGTGGGTGGGCAGGTAAGCGGATGGGTAACCTGTTTTTGAACAATTTTACCGCATACCGATTTTCAAAGCACACAATTTGCGTCACAACGAGCACTCTTAAGAAACAAGCATTCGTATAATTCACTTTGAAAATCGGTATGAGGAAGACAGGTATTGAATATCTGTAGCCTGCCGGTTAAGTGTGTTGGCTCGGCAAGTATGAGACATCCCCATCTCACAGCAATGTCCGTAGTTACTACACCAGAATGGGCTATTCAATTGTGCAATTTCCCCTGTTACTGATACATATGCGCTCAGATTCATCTGGATATGTCCAGACATATCCAGATACATGCTCATCACCCTGGTACAACCAGATACAGTACATGTGAATGCATGCACGTTTACAAATAACCCGAGGTACATCCAGACGTGTTAATGATGCAACTATAAAGCTCTTCAAACATTGAAAACATAATCCAGATACATTCACACACGCATCTTAACATACACACACACACAAACATCCCCATCATCCATAATAGAGGTTTTTTTGGGTTATATCGCGTAAATATATAAATGTGTCGTTAAACCCGCCACCACCCGACACAGCCAACTAGTAAGGGTTGTCACGTAAACAGAACGTGCCAATTCGTCACTAGTACAGCACACCGGTGTGTTGGAGAGCCAAGCCACAACATTTACAATCTGAGTACGACGTTTCGCCAGTAATTACAACTAGCTTCATCAGGCAACAGTCAGATTTGTGGAGAAGTCCACCTGTTTCGTTCCTTATATAGAGGCGTAGATGTGGTGACCCCATCATAACCACATGCCTGACCACCACACACAGACACCTTCACACATTCCCACACAGCCTCAAACATGCTCAGCCGCCTGACACACTCGCACACCCCACTAGAACCTCACAATCACAAGCATACACCATCACCCTCGCCCTCACACCCCCTAACCTTCCACACACCCAACGCTCACACACCAACCACATCCTATCGCACCCCCTACACGCACTCTCACCCTCACTCTCACCCGCATTCTCACCCTCACTCTCACCCTCACTCTCACCCTCACTCTCACCCTCACTCTCACCCGCACGCACTCACCCTCACTCTCACCCGCACTCTCACCCGCACTCTCACCCGCACGCATTCACCCTCACTCTCACCCGCACTCTCACCCGCACGCTCACCCGCACGCACTCACCCTCACACCCAAGGGCAGCAAGGCCACCCTCGTCTCGCCCCTCCCGCAGAAGGGGGGGGGGGGCTCGCCTCGTGTGCGCGTTCAAGTTTGTTGATCGATGCTTTGTAACGCAAAAAATATATAACGACATTATTATAATAACGACAACGACAATAATAACATTAACGAGGCGCGCACGGCACGCGAGCTCACCAAGGCGGAGTCCGTTTTAAAGTGGTTTCTCGACGGCCAAGGCCCGGAGGCCTCGGTCTCGTCCACAGTGGCTTCAGTCCCTTAGTCATGACGCGTCCGTCACCCCGGCCCGCAGGGCCCACAAGCAGTGGCGGGAAGAGGCCGCCCGCTTACCGTCCAGCCGAGCCACGCGAGGCTTCAGGTGGGTGGCCAGGGAGGCCCGGTTCTGGTCTCCTGGAGTTCCTTGAGGATCTTGAGTCCGCAGAGCTGTAGAGCCTGAGGGCCCAAAATCGCCTGAGGTCCCTATGGTCCTATGGCCTTGTAGCCCCACAGCCCTGGAGATCCATCCTTCCATGATTCGATGGCCTCAGGCACCATGAAATTAAGGTCACATGGCCTCAGTGAATCATGGCCATCAAGGTCTCAGAGTCTCCTGGTCCCAAGGCCCCCCGAAACCTCGCGACCCCCGTTCACGACGCCCAAGGTACCCGTTGGCACAAGGTCTTCACGTCGTCCGGGCCTCACGTCCCCGTGGCCACATGGCCCCGCGGCCGTGTGGCGGCGTTGGAGGCCTCATCCCCGCCGCTGGGCCCCGTGCCTCGACTGCCGGGTGCGCCTACTCCTGCGACCGCCTCGCCCCGGGCCACCGTTACCGCCGCCGCCACCGCCGGGCCCGCTGCCCGGCCGCACCACCCAGAAGATGGGCGTGACGGGCTCTTGCGACCGGCCCCGCGTCAGCCGCTTGATGAAGTGCACCTCCTGCTGGCCGCGCATCGTGCGCGTGCCGTTCTTGGGACGCCCGTGCCGGTTGAAGGCCATGTACCACTCGCGGTGCTTGGCGCTCTGCAGCGCCGTGTAGTTGTTCTCCAGGTAGATCTCGATGAAGACGCAGTCTCGGTTGCGCCCGTTGAGCTGCCGGGAAGCGCGGTGGAGGGGGTTGCGAGGGGGGAACACGCATCAATGGGTTAGCCGGGACACGTGACCTCCAGCACACTTCCCTGCCCCCAGTAGTCTCGTGGATAGATGCCCCCAAAAGGATCACAATTCAAAAGAGCAGCTCGACTCTAAAGTGGTGCCATTTGTTCACGTGCAAAGTCATCTCTGAGAATCGTGAGAGCAGGACCATGTGAATGTTGCCAACGCTCTCCAAGCTCTTGACTGGATTTCATAACTTAACATCAAACTAATCCTCCATTAGACATCGTTTAGGCCCAAAAGCCTCGTGGCCCACTTTACTTCACGACCCCTGAGGTCCCATTAGCCTCAAGGTTCTATGGCTTCTGTGTCTCAAGGCCCCCAGTGTCACCTCTAAATGTGTGGGGCAACCCGAGGTGATGTTCTCAGTGGCAATGTTGCCACCATCATTAGCAGCAGCAGAATCATGAGAAGCGTCGTACGAGCATGACAACACTACCCTCATCATATCTAACTGCTGATCTATTTGGTTGTGAGCATTGTTCTTAAACTCACTCGGTGAGTCAGATAAAACTCTCACAGTCGGCGCATCGTTAAACACGTGGACACTGCGCAACAGTTTACTTGGCTATGGCGGGTGGTGGAGGGACTTATGACAGAAATTTGGGTAAAATTAAAGTACGATCGCGGCTGTCACGAGGACGACAACGACGTCGACCTGTTTGGAGGTTCACGGTGGTGACGATCGTTGTACAATCACCACGACACATTCATTGCTCTTGTCATCGCAGTGACTCGAGTCACTCGTGCAAATGAGATTCCTTGTCGTGGTTTTCTCGAGTTCTCACCTGGTTCAACAAAATCAACTTGAAACTCACAATAATGGGACTCACTCTCCTCACGCAGCCATCTGTGCTGTGGACTGCCTGCCCTTCACTCAAAACACAAACTTCCCACTGCAAATCACAACTTATAGTAGGGCTCCGCAGCCAATATCGTGATTCGAAATTTATTTTCTAGTGAGATCACGGTGTAATGTAACACTTCACCACCTGAAACAGCCAAAATGAATGAAATTGCCACGTGTTGTATAACCGTGTAAGGATGCGCGCCAATTGTGAACCTCTAAACTCTCCCGCTTGCCACAGTTGAGTGGAAGAACAACACTCCTCGCGACCAGATTTAGTGGTTGTGAGACATGACATTTCACTTGGAAACTACGTCAAGCATTGTCACGACAGTATCTAGGAAGTCAGAATTTAAAAAATCTGGGTGCCGGAGGAATTTGACGACACAAACCTGGTCCAATAATTGCTTGGTCGAGCCCAAAACAATATTTTATGAGTCGTAGACAGCCTCCTTTATTTCGAGGCACATATGCGGTGCAGCGCCTCTCACTTGAGTGCTCACGCCCGCAGGCCCACTGAGTGTGTTTCATTTGTCAGTAGAGCCGGGCAGCAACGGCTCGAAAGAGATGCACACAGACGCTAAAAGTTCCCGTCACCTCGCTTCATAGGGAAGGGGGCTTCCCTGAACGTGTCTTACAAGCAGGGCTCAGCGCTAGGGGGAAGGGGCCGGGGTGGGCCCTGCACTACCAAATGTCTCCTGTGGCCCAACCCAAGTTCACTCTCCTCCCTGGCGGTAAATCACTGCTGTGGTGGTGCCCCCACAAAGCGTTCCTCCTGCCGCCCCGCCCCCCATCCGCGCTTGTAGAACTCTGGTCACATCCAATGAGCGAGGCCCGGGGGAAGGAGTCGCCGAGCAGACAACGGCGTCTCTCTTCAATGAGATGGCACGCTGCATCATGGGTACCCGGGATGCAGCGTATTACATTCAGATGTTTGAAGAGGTTGTTTGTGAATGTATCTACTAATGGGTACGTGCGTAGACCAATTAGGTTTATTCATCTGAGAACATGGTGTGTGTCGGGGGCCCACGGTGTGACCGCGCAGCTTTAAAATATTCACTTAATCTCTCTGGCGTCTCTGCCTGCCATGACGACGGTCCATTGCCCGAAACGTCGCCTATTATAAATATCTCCTATTATTGACGAACACGTTGAGGTTCTGTCTTGTTTGAATACAGTAGCTGGGCACAGGGCCCAGAGATCCAAGACATCAGACAGCCAGCAACAAATGGTACGGTCAATGTTGTAATAGAAAAAACAGAGTCAAGGGAGTCAGCTAGGAATCGCGCGAAGTGATTTGTTATTCGAGCTCGGGCAAAACAGGCGATGGTGATGATGGTGGTGGTAGGAGGAGGAGGGAATTCCAGAGTGGAGCCATACGAGGAAAGAATCAGAAAGAGAAGTGAGGAGACTTGCAGTGGTGAGCGAGCGAGTGGGTGGGTGAGTGGTTGAGTGGGTGAGCGAGTGGGTAGGTGGGCGGTTGAGTGGGTGAGCGAATGGGTAGGTGGGTGGTTGAGTGGGTGAGCGGGTGGGTAGGTGAGCGAGTGGGTGGGTGAGCGGTTGAGTGGGTGAGCGAGTGGGTAGGTGGGCGGTTGAGTGGGTGAGCGAGTGGGTCGGAGGGTGGTTGAGTGGGTGAGCGAGTGGGTAGGTGGGCGGTTGAGTGGGTGAGCGAGTGGGTGAGCGAGTGGGTCGGAGGGTGGTTGAGTGGGCGAGCGAGGGGGTGAGTGCCGAGTCTCGTGCACCGCTGCTGACGCAGTATGCACGGGGAGGCACGTGTCGTGCCGGCAACGCGGCCATGGCGATGCGTGCCCACCGCACGCGCGGCCTCCGCTCACCTTGCCCACCAGCTTGCCGCGCTTGTTCATGCAGATGTAGTGCCCCGTCTCAACCCCACGGAGCCGAATGTTCCCACCAAACGAGTCCGTCTCCGCCTGGAGCATGGCTGCGGTTGAGACGCGACAGAGACGGCGAGAGAGGAATTCAACAACGGCAACAAGCAGCAGCAGCAGCGGTCACGTGCCAGGCTGGGTGCGCTTGGAGTCATCTTCGCTGTGCGATACAACGACTATGACCCCCCCCCCCCCCCACTCAATAGCTTGAGCGGACTGTTGGGTTCAGTGCTGTTCACGAGAACCCACGACGATGTTCAGAACGGCACACGAGGAGGAGGAGGTCGTATGACCGGTTGGGACTCAACTACATCACAGGGGCAGGTGAAAGACGTCGCTCCAGCCGCCACGTGCGCGGGGCATTGGGCGGGACGCGTCAAGGACGCTGACTGACGGTCAAGAGCAATGACAGACAGGGAGCCAAGGAATGGAACGCGTTCAGGGAGGGGGGCGCCCGCGGGGGAGATGGAGCGACGGGATCGGCTCGTGCGCGGCTGCTGGACGGATTGTTATGTCGCAGGATCGTGAGTGATGGCCACGACTTGGCCGTGGTCCTGATCCAGCAGTGGATTGATCATGGCTGACGGTGGTCATGATGGTGGTGGTGGTGGTGGGCGACACTGCACGAGCCTCGTGGGCGCGCCAAGGCGCCGCACCTCGCGTCGACTTGGAGCAGACATCGCCTGCTCCGTCTCCAGTGCACGGCAGGGCGAGATGGTGAGGGCAGGTGGGGGAGGGGAGGGAGGGGGGGCAGGTGGGGGAGGGGAGGGAGGGGGAGGGAAGGGAGGGGGGTAGGTGGGGGAGGGGAGGGAGGGGGTAGGTGGGGGAGGGGTGGGAGGGAGGGGGGCAGGTGGGGAGGGGAGGGGGGCAGGTGGGGGAGGGGAGGGGGGCAGAGGGAGTGGGGATGGCGGGCGGGCGGGCGGGGGGAAGGAATGGAGAGGGGGGAAGGGAGGGGGAGAAGGCGGTGCGGGGGGGGGGAATAAGGGAAAGGGGGAGGGAGGCGAGAGGGAGAGAGATGCAGGGAAGGAATGGAGAGGGGAGGGGGGAGAGGGGAGGGGGGAGGGGGGAAGAAGGAAAAGGAGGGAGGGGGGAGGGCGGCTGCACCTGGGCGTGGGAACTGGCGGAGCCCCCACGGCCCCCCCCCCCCCGCCTCGAGTACCGGGGCCACCACGGGCAGCAACTGAGAGCGCAGCAGCGAGAGTGGCTACACCGCGAGTGCAGTGCTCGTGACGGCAACCCCCCCCCCCCCCCCAGTATTAATGCCCCCCCCTGGTGGTAATGCCCCCCCCCTGGTGGTAATGCCCCCCCCCTGGTATTAATGCCCCATGTGGTGCCTCCACGCTCGCTGCGCGGCGCGACGTCCTGACGCCCCAGCGCCTGGCCCCCTGCCCCCCCCCCCTCGCCCCCCCCCTGCCCCCCCCCCCTCGCCCCCCCTGCCCCCCCCCTCGCCCCCCCTGCCCCCCCCTCACCGTGCGGGTCTCCGTCGTCTCCGCGTGCCTCGATGTTGCGGCCCAGCACCTGCACGTGCTTGCCGCTGGTGCGCGAGTAGAGTTGGTAGGTGCGCACGTGCCGCCGCGACGCCTCGTCCGTGTGCTGCGCCTCCTTCTGCACGTGGCGCCCGAAGTCCGGCGACGGCGTGGGCGACACTAACTGGGGGGGGGGGGGGGGGCGAGAGTCGTGGAGGGTTGCGGGGGGCACGCGTCAATGGTCCACAATGGGAATCAGAATCTCGATTCGTCCTGGGCTATGGAACTCTTTTTGGCAGATTTCCAGTACGGGGGGGCGGGGGGGGTTGGCAAGTTACAACAAACACACCAAGAGGATGCGGGTCAACTCTGTGGCCAGTCGCGGGGGGCATGGATGCACGGGGGATTAGAGGGGGGGGGTGGAGACGGGCACAAAAGCCGAAAACGTCAAGAGGCCAGCGACAAACAGCACTCCTTGTGAAGGTCGGCGAATGCGTACGAGGTAAGCGTGTAAGCCGAGTGTTGACATTCAGCAAGGTTATTTGTTGTGAAAAGAGCTTGTGGGGGGGCGATGCGGTGATGCGAGGGAGGGAGGGAGGCGGCTTGGAGGGGAATTCCCAAGTGGAGCAGTGACGAAAAAAGAAGCAGAGAGAGAGAATCATCACCACCGTCCGCAGTGGGATCACCATGAGGAGGAGCATGATGAGAACATCCACACTGACAGAGCGACACGATTAGCTACACTATCATCACCATCACTATCATCACTATCAGCATCACTATAATCACCATCATCACCACCACTATCATCAGCATCACCATCATCATTATCCAGTATTCAGAATTAAAACATTCAGCTCACATCGACCATTATTGATTATTATTGAAATCACATCAGCAGCAGCATTGTCAACTGTTTATCAGTCACAATCACACCATCATCCATCAAAAGAGCAATTATGAATTAGATCATTATTCAAATCCATCATCAAATCTCCCAGGTCTCCCTTGGGAAAGGGCTCGTGATGTCCATTGTGCTCTCACCTGGGCTACAGGTAAGACGGTCACTCGACCAGGAGGTATTTATGGATACGGTGGACAGGTAGGGGTATGGTGGACAAGGAGTGGTGGACGGACAGGAGTGGACAGTATGGGGAGATCTGTCAGGCAGTCGGAGGAAGCGAGAACAGGCAGCTTAGGGTGGACAGGTAAGAGGTGACCCGCACAGGTAAGAGGTGACCCGCACAGGTAAGAGGTGACCCGCACAGGAGACAGATGCATCGGTCGGTGTGGACGAGAGGTGGAGACGGGTGGGAGATGTACAGGACAGGTCAGGGGTGTTTGTCCAGACGTTGTGAGATGGACAGGTGTTGGTGGTGGGGGCCCGGGGGGGGGGGACAGGTGAGGGAGATCACAGATCACGCGAGGCGCCTCTGTAATTAGCGCCGCGCGCCCAGCCCCGCTAATTGGCGTGAGCTCATGACGTCAGCTCCCACGCCGCGTTAATTGCGAGGGACAGTGCGCGGCGCGCGCACGTGAGCAGCCATGCCGCGCACTGTACACGCGCACGTGTCCGCAATGTGCACGCGTGCACGTGTCTACACTGTACACGCGTGCACGTGTCTACACTGTACACGAGCACGTGTCTACGCGTGTGTGTGTCTACAAACACACACGTGTCAACGCGAATTAAACGACCAATGAGACAGGCGTGTGGATACACGCACAAAGACATACACATTTACAGACGCGAAGACAAAGATGCCCCGTGTCGCCTTTATCATGCGATTGGAACAATTGCTGCGAGCGAGCACCTGCGAAGGCCGGGATGGCGCACGAAAGGGGTGGGTGGCCAACTCCACGCCCAGCTGCCTTTGTCTCCCTCGTGGTGAAGTTTTCTACCCACCGCACTAAAACCTCATTTCAGGCTGAGTCGACCTAGGGGAGACCCATGACCTCGGGTCGCTGGGTTCGTAGCACACTGTGCGTCAACCACTGCGCCACCGCTCTCCACGTGGGTACACGCACTGCGCCAATTAGGGAAGAGGTCGGACCGAGGGTGCGAGAGCACGAGGGGATGGGCGGACGAGGGGATACGGGACGAGGGAGTAAGAAGAGGATACGACGGGACGGGAGATGAAAGGGGTGACGATGGGATAGGCGGTGACAGGGGAGACGATGGGATGGGAGAGGGGAGGAGGCGAGGGGACGGGAGTGGGAAGCCAGTCGAGGTGCCAGACTCAATCAGCGTCAGCGCGGAGAGCCGTCACCCTGACCCCCAACGAGCAGAGGGCCCTTGAGCATGGGTGCCGCGTGTAGCTCTCGGCCCGAGTTGTACCCCCACTCGCGAGACACGCGGAGCGACTCACACACAGTACACACACATCGTAGACGCATGCCTACAGCCTACAGACAGACACATGGACATACACACAGACACATGGACATACACACAGACACATGGACATACACAAAGACACATGGACATGCATGCAGGCAAAGACACAGACACGTGCATAAAGACACACATACACAGACAGACATACAGAGACCCATACACCTACTCGTACATACAGACATACACACAGACAGACGGAGACCCACACACCTCCTCGTTCACACACGCACGCGTGCTCTCACTCACCTGTACTTGGAGGTAGAGCGTGAGTAACCGCGAACACCTAAAGACAAACACACACAACACACATATTCACATACACACAAAGACAAAGGTCCTCGTACAGGCCACATGGACTGCTGAGGCAAGTGCTTTTGGCGTGCACCGACAGTATTTCAACCCGGCCCGTCGCGCTCTGCGGTGGTGGACCACGCCCGGACACCTTTGTCTCACCAGACACTTACTTAAGGCTGAGTCAACATAGGTGAGGCCAAGACCGATTTAGCTGTCTCTCGCCACTGATGTTAGCCGTGGCGGGGACGCCGATTCTGGCGGAAATGTTCGCAGTGCACTGAGCTAACCATTGCGTCACCCATCCCCAAATTCACACGCAGTCACAGAGACACACAGGCACACGCACACACAGACTGACATGCACACACATACATATAGACGCCGGAACACACACAGACACACACATACACAGAGACACACACACACTCATAGAACAGCAGCATCCGCCGTCAGATTCATACAGAGACACACACAGACACACACTCACAGACACGTAGATGCACAGACACACTCAGAGACACACACTCACATTCGCATTCAGACAGACAGTCACTAACATACATGCACAGACTGACACACACATACACACACACGAGGAGACACTAATATACACACTCACATACACTGACACACACTGACACACACACTGACACACACACACGCTCACACACACTGACACACACACACGCAGGGTCACGGTCAGGGTGAGAGCCCCCACTCCCCACACCCCCAACCCCCCGTGGCAGCGAACGAAGCGGCGTGGTTCGGGATGTGGATGATGCTGCTGCTGATGATGCTGCTGACACTGCTGCTGATGATTATTCTGCTAACGGCAATGAAAATGATGTTGATATGGCTGCTGGAGATGCTGCTGATGATGACTAGACTGACGACCGTGCTGCTGCTGATGATGATGCTGATGATGCTGCTGCTGCCGATGATGATGCTGATGCTAGGCCGGGTGTCCGCTAAGTGCCCGCGAGACTCACAGCTGCAGGAGCCTCGCCATGGCTTCGGGTTCCGTGCTGACGAGTTCAACTCCGACCCACAGGGCGCCAGGGAGACACGCGGCGGTGGAGACTCGCCGACTCACAACCCCCGGAGCCCCGCGTACTGCACGCGGGAGCCTGGCCGCTACTGACGCTGGCTCTGCTGCTGCTGCTGCTGATGCTGCTGCTGATGATGATGATGATGTTTCGTCTGCTGCTGCTGCCGCTGCTGTTGATGCTGGCGATGATTGTTTCGCTCCTCCTGCTGCTGATTATGTTGCTGTTCCTGCTGATAATGCTGCTGCTGATGCTGATGATAGTGACGGCTATGATGATGATTCTGCAGTTCGTGTGGCTGCCGCTCCCGATGTCGCCACTGCTGTTCCACTTGTTCTCGCTGCTGCTGATGCTGCGGCTGCTGCTGTTGATGCTGCTGATGATGCTGCTGCTGATGATGCTGCTGCTGCTGCTGCGCTCCCTGCCGAGCGCCGCGCATCGCTGAGACCCCGGGAGCGCGAGTCGCCCCGGGGCACACGAGACGAGACGAATCCGCGTTGCTTCTCCTCCGAGCCGAGGCCGGGCCGCCGGGCAGGTGCCGGGCAGGGGCAGCGAGAGGGCAGGGCAAGGGCAGCGAACAGCAGCAGGGTAGAGCAGGGCAGCAGGGGCAATCCGTAAGAGGTCCACTCACCCACCCCCCTCGTAAAAACCCTCGTCTCGCGTCTCGACAGCTGCAGCAGCAGCAGCACGGAGAATGGAAAATCCAGCCGGGCGGTGCCCTGGGGATGACGGCGAGACGGAGCGACGCGAAGGGCACGGCTGCCTTGTACGCGATGGGGGCCGGCGGCGCACGAGGCTGTCAGGGGGCAAGGCTGTCAGGGGGCAAGGCTGTCAGGGGGCAAGGCTGGGCAAAGGGCAAGACGATCGCCGCGGGCAGCCGCGAGTCGCGACTGCCGATCCACCGTCTCAGATCTCCTCTCCGACTCCTTCGCGCGCCCTCCTGCTGCTGCTGCCTGCCGGGATTGTCACGCGAGTCTGGGTTTTTTTATTTTTGTATTTATACATTGCGTGTGCATGTGTGTCCCTCCTCCTCCTCCTCCCTGCCTCACTCCTCCTCCTCCTCCCCCCGCATCACTCCTCCCCCCTCTCTCCCCTCTCGCTCCCCACCTCTCTCTCCCCCACTCGCTCTCCCCCCCTCTCTCCCCTCTCGCTCTCCCCCCCTCTCTCCCCTCTCGCTCTCTTCACCCTCTCGCCCCCCCTCTCTCCCCTCTCGCTCTCTCCCCCGACTCAGCTGCGCGGCGAATGACTCCTCCACCCACCCAGGCGGCGGCGGCGGCCGTGATGGTCGTGATGGTGTTACATGGATGGTGAGGGTAGTGGTGGTGTTACATGGATGGTGAGGGTAGTGGTGATGTGATTCTGAGTGATGGTGATGATCATGGTGGTGATACTGCAGTACTTCTCATTGACATGATTCATCCTGTCATCCTGTCATTCTGCTCTGATTCTGAATGATGGCGATGACGTAAACGATTGATGTGAGCCTGAATGAAGGTGGTGGTGGTGATGGTGGTGATGATGATGATGATGGTGGTGATGGTGGTGATGGTGGTGGTGGTGATGGTGGTGATGATGATGATGGTGGTGATGGTGATGATGGTGGTGATGGTGGTGATGATGATGGTGGTGATGATGATGATGGTGGTGATGATGATGATGGTGATGATGATGGTGGTGATGATGATGATGGTGGTGATGGTGATGATGGTGGTGGTGATGGTGGTGATGATGATGATGGTGGTGATGATGATGATGGTGGTGATGGTGATGATGGTGGTGGTGATGGTGGTGATGATGATAATGGTGGTGATGGTGATGATGGTGGTGATGGTGGTGATGATGATGGTGGTGATGATGATGGTGGTGATGATGATGGTGATGATGATTGTGATGGTGGTGATGATGATGGTGGTGGTGATGGTGGTGATGATGATGATGGTGGTGATGATGATGATAGTGGTGATGGTGGTGATGATGATGATGATGATGGTGGTGATGATGGTGATGATGATGGTGGTGATGGCGGTGATGATGATGGTGGTGATGATGATGGTGATGATGATGGTGATGATGATGGTGGTGATGGTGGTGATGGTGGTGATGATGGTGATGATGATGGTGGTGATGATGGTGATGGTTGTGATGATGATGATGATGACGGTGGTGATGATAATGGTGATGATGATGGTGATGATGATGGTGGTGATGGTGGTGATGGTGGTGATGATGGTGATGATGATGGTGGTGATGATGGTGATGATGGTGATGATGATGGTGGTGATGATGGTGATGGTTGTGATGGTGGTGATGATGGTGGTGATGGTGGTGATGATGGTGGTGATGGTGGTGGTGGTGATTATGATGGTGATGGTGGTGATTATGATGGTGATGGTGGTGATGATGATGGTGGTGATGATGGTGATTATGATGGTGATGGTGGTGATGGTGATGATGATGGTAGTGATGATGATGGTGTGATGATGATGGTGGTGATGATGGTGGTGATGGTGGTGATGATGGTGGTGGTGATGGTGGTGGTGATGGTGGTGATGATGGTGGTGACGATGGTGATGATGGTGGTGACGATGGTGATGATGATGGTGATGATGGTGATGATGGTGGTGATGATGGTGATGATGGTGGTGATGGTGGTGATGATGGTGGTGATGATGGTGATGGTGGTGATGATGGTGGTGATGATGGTGGTGATGATGGTGATGATGATGGTGATGGTGGTGATGATGATGGTGGTGATGATGATGGTGATGATGGTGGTGATGATGGTGATGATGGTGGTGACGATGATGGTGGTGATGATGGTGATGATGATGGTGGTGACGATGGTGATGATGATGGTGATGATGATGGTGGTGATGATGGTGGTAGTGATGTGATTATGAATGTTGGTGGTTTTCACGGTAGCGGTGATGCAATTCTCATTTGATGCGATCCTGATGAATGTCGGATGCTGCGAAGATTCAGAATCGATGAGATCCGATTCGTGATGATGATGGACACGTGAGTCTTAATCATGGTCGTGACGAAATCGTGATACTGATTACGTGAATATAAAGATACAACAATGTCACTGACGATCCGATTCTGATTTCGAAGCAGCTGCCTGCTGCTCATGATGATGTTTCTGAGTACGCACCTGTCAATCGTGGTGATGGCGATGACGCCGAGTTTTCTGCTGACAGTAATTCTGATGCAGCTCTAGTGGATGTCTGGAACTCTGCGTGATCACGTGATTGGCTGAACTCTCGGCCCCTGCCGATGATCGAATGACCCGGAACGGGGCCCATCTCGGAAGCTCAGCAGGGTCTGAGCCTGCTCAAGTGCTTGGTGTTGTAGCAAAGCTGCTGCGTGCCAATGGCAATCCACTAATGTACTGCACTTCTATGCTTCCGTGTCTTTAAGTCACCCCGGCTTTAACCATCCCCTACTGACCAGCGTGGTGAAGTATGGTCAAATAACTACCGTGACCTCTCCCCGACGTAGGGGAGCCCCTCATCCAGCAGTGGATTGGCAAAACACGGCTGTGCGCGTGCCGGTGTGCAAGTGTGTACACGTGCGTGTGCCGGGTGCCGTGTGCAAATATCGCCAATGGGAAGACAAAGGCGGGTGGTGGTGTTGGCCACCCACCCCCTCGTGTGCCGTGACGGCCTTCATCTGTGCTCGCTAACAGCACTTGCCCCAAAAGTCTGTTTAGGCTGTACGGGGGATCTTTGTCTTTGTGTGCGGGAAGCAGTGGCGCAGCGGTTAGTGCACAGCGCTCCGAGCCCCGGGGAAGCCGATTCCCGCTCACGGCCAAGTGACGAAATATCAGAACCGGTCCAGGTCCTGGGCTTCCTTCAAGTCGACTCAGCCTCAAATGAGGACCCGGTGTGTTTGTGTATACACATCAGCATGGAAGAGACAAAGGCGGCCGGGCGTGGTTATGGCCACCGACACGCTTGGGTGCCGCGTCGGTGGTTAGCACGTGCTGCCCAACGCCACTTGGCCCAACGCTCTGAAGGGCTACACGGGGCGTCTTTGTCTTTGTCCACACTGCAGGCGTTGCTGTTCCCTGCATCACTCGATCGCGAGTCGGGGGCGATTAAACCCGGTTTTTGCGTAACCGGTAACCGCATAAAATGGGTTAATATCGGTTTGCCGCACACGCCGACAGCGCTCAACAATGCGAGGGAGCGACACTTTTTGTTTAAATCGAGAAGCGAAGGGAAGCCACCGCCACACAGCGCGCTCGCGACCCGCAAACCGGAGGGTCGCCCGGTTCGATCCCAGCTCCCATCTCCGGGCGCGGCAGTGGAAACAATGGGGAGGGGGAGGCACATTTCTTAAATCGGTTGCATTCATTCACGACTTAAGATTCTACTGGGATCGTTTACCGGTTTCCTGACGTTTGTTACCAGTTTAACCGGTTCGTGTTGAACCATTCTCGTCGTAACCGAGTGGACACGCACGGAGCCATGCCCAGGAGGCTCCTGGGGGCCCGTGGCCAGATGCCGGGAGGGGGGGGGGGGGACTCGTGTAAGTCAGCCTGTGGTGGGCAGCCCCCCCCCCCACACCCCATCGCTTTATCCCACCACTCTGGGCAGCCTCAAATCAACGCCCGATTAACGCCGCATCGAGGTGGCAGGGCGAGCGGCAGTCGCCCCCCGCCCTGTTGTGGCAAGCGCCGGTCGCGAGCAGCACGGATGAAGGCCGTCAGCGGCACGTGGCGAGAGAGGGGACACCACGCACAGCCGCAGCCTTCGTCGCTCCCCACTGCCGATGAGGCCGAGTCGGCCCCGGGGAGGCCAAGGGCCGGTTCAGATATTTCGTCACCGACGTCTTTCCGTGAGCGGAAACAGAACTCGGGTGGCCGGGTCGGTAGCGCGGTGCGCTGACCACTGGGCCCACCGCTGCCCAGACACGCACACAAACACGGCGGCGTCACGGGGCCGCGGGAAAAGAAAACAAACTGCAGCAGGTTGGATGCAACGCGTGCGAGAGAAATCAGAACGCGCTGGGGATGGTATCCAACACACTTTTATTGTCCACAAGTAACAAAGGCCACGCACCGCGCCAAACTCATTAGGCGCCACAAGCACGAGGTGCACCACAATCGGGGGGCACAGCGGGGACCCTCCAGGAACCTCGAGGGGACCTCCAGGGACCTCGAGGGGACCTCCAGGAACTTGCCAGGGCAGTGGTTCTCAACCTTAGTTTGGCTACTACTGTACCCCCCCACCCGCATCTCTTGCCTGACCCAACATGGTTCTGAGAAATAAAGGTACGAATTAATGAACGTCAATATTTTAACCGCTTGTCCATTTTGTGAGGTATCCTCACAGGCTAACTGAAAGCGAATGAAAGCAACTTTAAGAGACGCTCTGTGCGCGCGACACGATTGGGTCGCGTTGACCCTGCACCTTGCGTACGATCAACGAGTTTAGAAATGTCTGATATATCACTCGAGGTTACCATATGGATTTAACCTTTCTCGTTATTTTATATTGGCAGATACATACACATTATTCACCCATGACTGATGTATGCAACTTCACACATTTATAAATCACCTCGCGTACCCCCGGTTGAGAAACACTGTCCTAGGGCAGGAAGCTCCTCCTTGGGGTCGGCAAAACGATCTCAAGATCACCCCCCCCCCCCCCAAAGAGACAGCAACCAGGCATCAACTCGGACCGCCTCCCTCCCTCCGCTGTTCTCGCAGCTTCACTTAACGGATCGTTTGGGGCCTCTGCAGACTTCACTTAATGTTGCCGCCCTTCGTGCGTCAGTAAAAAAAGTAATAAAACGTGTGATGTTAAAACCGCGCCAAATAAACCTGAACATACACACACAAAACAATGTCATGCCTAACGCCGTCTCCGCGATTAAAAGGGGGGGGGGGGGGGGGTGATGAGCTGGCAGGTGGGGGGGACGGCAGGGGACAGGGCCCAGTTGGACGGACTGTGATGAAGCCCCCCCCCCGGGGGTTGGGTGTCGGGAGCTCCTCAAGACTTTGTCTGCGTCAAGCTCCAACTCCACAGCTCCTTCATGACCTGGGCGGGGGGTGGCACAGGTGAGGCGTGGCAGGGCAATGCTGACGACCACCAATGTGTACGCGCTAGACCAAGCGGTGAGCGCTTTGCGCCGTGAACCCGGTGAGCAGAGTTCGCTTAGCGCTCGTGATCGATTATCGTGACGTATATCTGAACCGGTTCTGGGACCGCCGCCCCAAGGCAAGCCTCAAATGAGCACCCCTGGTGCGGTATATAAATATCGGCAGTGGGAAGACAAAGGCAGCCGGGTGCGGTGCTAGCCACGCACTCCCTCGTGTGCCTCGTCGGACTTCGTAGGCGCCCGCAAAGAGCACTTGCCCCAACGGTCTGTGAGACAGGGGCGAGAGAGAGTGCGTCTGTGCAAGAGGGAATCTGCGAGACACTGGGCTTCTCTGTAATCAAAGTGAAAGAGTCCCTCCCGCCCGCAAACCCCTCGCAGACTTTTGGGGCAAGAGCTGTTTGTGAGCACCTCCGAAGGTCGCAATGGCACACACAAGGGGGAGGGGGGTGGTGGCCATAAGCATGCCCTGCTGCCTTTGTCTCTCCACCGCTGATGTTTGCACACTGCACCAGGTACTACGTTTAGGCCGAGTCGACCTCGTGAAGGCCCCAAGACCGATTCAAATATTCGTCGGCGATGTTGGCCGTGGGTGGGAATTGAACTCCGGTCGCTAGGTTCGTAGCGCAGTGCTACAACTCCACAGGCATGCGCACATCCTTTCATACGCACGCACATGCACAACGATGACACTCATTCATACACACCCTCTAAACACACAACCCTTCACGCACACATTAACACAATGACCCACGTGCAAAGGCATGCGTGCGTACACGCGCACTCACACTCGTGTATCTCCATTCACAAACATCCATTCATGCAGACGCTCTCTCCCACACGCAAACGAACGCGTGCACGCAGACACACCCACGACGCTCGCCCTCTCACGCCCGCTCACACTTTCCCACTCGCACGCTCATACGTGCACAAACACATGCTCTGGCGCGCGCGCACACACACACACACGTGCTCACATAAGCACGCACGCACGCACACACTGTCACATACACGCGCGCGCACAGGATTTCCCATGCTCCTCACAATGGAATCTCCGGGCGGGGATGCGACAGCGACGACACACATGCGGGGGGGGGGGGGCGTGTGAGTGAGCCAGTGAGCACGGCTTCGGGAAAGGGCGGACTTGCGCCAGGGGAGGCGACGTCACCGCCCCGCGACGTCACGGGGATGTGACATCACCGCATGTGACATCACAGGGGAGGGGGGGTGACCGCCGCACCACCCTGACCTCCCCCCCCTTACCCTCCACCCCACTGCAGCAAAAAGAAGAATCCTCCTGCTGCAAGCGCTGACAATGCTCGCTGCCTCACAAGCAGACAGTCGCCTCCTGCTGCAAGCGTTGGTCCACTGCTGCACGGTTTAACGGTTACCCACTGCTGCACAGCTCAATTATTGCCCACTTCTGCGCTCAAGATTATAACAATAATAATTCGGCCCTTTATTAAGGAAAGCCTCACGGAGGCTCAAGAGGCTCTGCACGAGGCATCTCCTGCGTGGTGCCCCCCCCCCTGCCTGCAGCCCAGGGGGGGGGGGGGGGGGGGGGGGGGGCCACCGCGTCCCCACGCAGGCGCCCCCACCTGGAGCTGCTCGCCAGGTTCAGCGCCCCCCCCGCCCCCTGAGGAGACAGGACGCCGTCTCTGGGCGGCGTGGCCGTGGGCACGAGGGACGCGGCAGGGCCGACGGTCGCGCGCCTCACGGCCATTACGGCCTGGATTCAATCCCCAACTCGGCCGACCCCCGTGCTGCGTGGAGTTTGCGTGTTCTCGCTTTAGACTGCGTGGAGTTTGCGTGTTCTCGCTTTATACTGCGTGGAGTTTGCGTGTTCTCGCTTTAGACTGCGTGGAGTTTGCGTGTTCTCGCTTTATACTGCGTGGAGTTTGCGTGTTCTCGCTTTATACTGCGTGGAGTTTGCGTGTTCTCACTTTAGACTGCGTGGAGTTTGCGTGTTCTCACTTTAGACTGCGTGGAGTTTGCGTGTTCTCCCCGTGCTGCGTGGAGTTTGCGTGTTCTCGATCTAGACTGCGTGGAGTTTGCATGTTCTCACTTTAGACTGCGTGGAGTTTGCGTGTTCTCCCCGTGCTGCGTGGAGTTTGCGTGTTCTCCCCGTGCTGCGTGGAGTTTGCGTGTTCTCCCCGTGCTGTGTGGAGTTTGCGTGTTCTCCCCCGTACTGCGTGGAGTTTGCATGTTCTCACTTTAGACTGCGTGGAGTTTGCGTGTTCTCCCCGTGCTGCGTGGAGTTTGCGTGTTCTCCCCCGTACTGCGTGGAGTTTGCGTGTTCTCGCTTTATACTGCATGGAGTTTGCGTGTTCTCTCCCGATGTGCGTAGAGTTTGCGTGTTCTCGCTTTATACTGCGTGGAATTTGCGTGTTCTCGCTTTAGACTGCATGGAGTTTGCGTGTTCTCCCCGCGCTGCGTGGAGTTTGCGTGTTCTCGTTATAGACTGCGTGGAGTTTGCGTGTTCTCCCCCGTACTGCGTGGAGTGTGCGTGTTCTCCCCCTGTTCTGCGTGGGTTCCCTACAATGGGATCCCCATTTCCCTCCATAGCGAACATAAACCCACACTGCGTAACCGGGATTGGTCAAACCACTTCAATGCTAAAATATTCCCTGATAATCGGTGAATCGGGATCGCAAACAGCAGCGACATCGCCCTCTACTGCAAAAACCTGGCAGGATCCTCCTGAAGGAGAGTCTTGAGACTCGGCAAGGCTCTCCTGGATAAAAGTCACAATAGAAATGAGCGTGGGTTCCATGGAGGGACTGTAGGTGGGCGTGCGTGTAGGGGTGTGCGGTTGTGACCGACTGCATAGGTGGTACTGCCCGTGCTTGTGATGAGAGGCATGCATGTGCAAAGACAGGTGTGTGGAATGTCAGGTGTGTGGCAGGTGTGTGATGATATGTGGGTAAGATAATTTGTGTTGTGTTGTGATCACAGGTGTCTGTGTGCGAGAACGGTTGTGAATGATGACACGTGAGATTACAGGTATACAGCGTATGATAGGTGCATGATAGGTGCATGATAGGTGTATGGGGCCGTGACATAGCCCAGCAGTGGTGCATCAGCCGCTTGCTGCGGAGGTTTGCAGTTGCATGCCGGCAGGCCACCCTGGTTAACACTGGGTGGGGCCTCATTCACGTTAGATGCCACAGTAGGCCGTCGCTTGTCGGCGTCGCGGTCCAGATTTGCAAAATGTTGCCGAAATGGGATCGCACACACGGCAGCAATCATCGCTCCCTGCTGGTACCAGATCAATGCTGAATTACAGGCCACGTGCCGAGAAACGCCTTGTGCTGCACAGGGACAGCTGCCACCGGGGGTGCCCTTCACGTGTGTCGAGATGCGATGCCGCTGAGCGGCAGTGCGGCCCCCTCACCTTGGTGTCCTCCACCTTGAAGGAGCTCTTCAAAAAGTTCCCAAACTTCTCCTCCGTCTTGGGCATGCCCATGTTCTGCACGACACGAAACCACACCGTCAAATCCGGGGACAGGGGAAGACACTTACAGGGGTAGCCCCCCCCCCCCACCACCACCTCTAGCGAGGAGCCCCCTCACCCCCCCGGCCCCCCAACCTCGATCCAGACGCGCCCCCTCCGACCCCGAACTGTGCCGTGGGCGACCCCGGCGCAACCCCTGACCTTTTCTATCTGCTCCTTCAGTTTGGTCTTCACTTCCTCCAGGGAGATGGGGCCTTTAGGGGACTTGGGTGACTTGGGGGTCTTGGGGGTCTTGGAACCCGGCGTGGCTACCGGCTTGGCCTCCCCCTTCTTGGACTCCTGCGCCGCGCACACACAAAGACAAAGAGCTCCCATGTAGCCTCTCTTTAACCACACCACCACCACACTGATTGTAGGCAAGAGTGACTCGAAGGTTCACGTGTGTGTGTGTACGTGTCACACGAGACGTACATAGAGTGCAGGTACAAATTAAGAATTATCTGTATGTCACGTAACGCAAACAAAGATTCCCCATGTAACCAGCACAGGCTGTTGGGGCAAGTACTGTTGGCGAGTGGAACCTATGGGGGCCGGCACGAGGGGGTGGGTGGGTAGCCAGCACTCCGCCCGGCTGCCTTTGTCTCCCCAGTGCAGAAAACAAAACAACGCTCTAGGTACTCATTTAAGTCCGAGTCGAACCTCGGGGGACAGGTCCAGGACCAGTTCAGACATTCGCCATCTATGTTGGCCGTGTGTGGGACTTGAACGAGGATTTGTAGCAGCGGTGCTAGACATCACCACCGGCTATCACCACACAGATGCACGCACGAGACACCACTGCTGCGACGGCTACCAAAGCAGGTAGCTGCTGTCTGCGAAATCGATTCTGGGGGTCGTGGAGGGGTGAGCGATGAATGGAGGAGGAGGGAGGGGAGAGAAAGAGGGGGGTGGAGAGGGGAGGGGCGAGGAGGGCGGAGGGGGGCGGCGGCCGTGTTTACTGCGGTGCGTGGTCATGTGACCCGCGGCACACGTGTGGATGTTTGCGGGGCTCCGTACCACGGAGCGGAATGCAACCCCTTACATTCTTCTATGACCTCAAACAGCTACAATTGGAAATAAGAAAAAAAATGTAAAAGAGAGAAAAAAAATATCTGAAATTCCGCAGTAGAAATTAAAAGCAGGCGAGAGCAGGGTCCGCGCTACTGGAATGAGCGGAACGCAGGCCTGGAAACCCGAGCGGTGCAGCAGCAGCAGCAGCAGTGGCAGCGCCGTCTGATCCATCTCTCCGGTGCAGCCCCCCCCCGAGCGTACAGGCGCGTGGGCACAGGCGGGCACCACAGACAGTCTCACCGTGGTGTGTGGACTGATTCGATGCTCGCTTGTACAGAGACAAAGCTCCCCCGTATAGCCGTTGGGACAAGTGCTGTTTGCGGGCACTTTGTGAAAGCCGGCATGGTACACAAGGGGGGCAGTTGTGGCCAGCACCATGCCCGGCTGCCTTTGTCTCCCAACGCTGATGTCTACACATCAACACCAGGTACTCATTTAAGGCCGAGTACACCTCGGGGGGAGGGGGGGGGGCCAGGACCGGTTCAGATATTCGTCACTGTGATTTGCTGTAAGCAGGAATCAAATTCGGGTCACTGGGTTCACAGCGCGTTCACTAACCATTACACACAAAGGTGCACACCACACACAAAAACACCACCACGCTCGCACACACATTCGCAAACACGTGTACTTACACACACACACGACACGTGTACTTACACGCATCCACACAATCACGGACACGGCTTACGACGCACACAAGACAAAGATCCCCCGTGTAGCCTGAAGAGACTGCAGGCACAAGTGCTGTTAGTGAGTACCTATAAAGGCCGTAAAGGCGGACAGGTGGATTGGTGGCCCAACCACCTTTGTCTCCCCATTGGCGATGTTTACACATCGCACCAGGTACTCATTTGAGGCCGAGTCGACCTAGGACAGGCCCAGGACCGGTTCAGATATTTGCTACCGGTGTTGGCCACGAGCAGGAATAGAACTCGGGTCATCGGGTCTGTAGCACAGCGCGCTAACCACTACACACTACCGCTTCCCCTACTACGCACGCACACAATCACAGCTACACACACACAAGCAATTACAGCCACACACACAGCTCCTACACGCAGTTAACCAACACCAATACCGTTATCTCACAAAGGCAGAGGGGCCCAGTCATGTGCACCCCCCCCCACACACCCCCCTGCCCAACCCCATAATCCCTGCACAGAGCCCATCACAGAGCACAGTGCCATCCCAAACCATTACAGCCAAACCAAGCCCACGACCGTAAACCCGTTAAAATATCATCTTCTGCAGTATTACCGGCACATCGCACAACCACCGACGCCGGCGTGGATTTGCGATATTTACCAGGTCTGAGCGCGAATCACCCCGTAGGCACACACGCACCACGCCCCAGAAGAAGTCATTGCGGAAATCCCCATTTCCCCCGGCGCAAAATCCCGCAGACTTCACCTAGAATCCCAATACTTCTCATTGCAGCAGCTGGCTCTACCCAGACTGCCCCCTGCCACAGACAAGCCCTGCAGGAATCACGTGATGCTGCTGCTGCTGCGCCTCCCACGGGCAACACTAATGGCATACAAACAAAACAAACTACAACATTAAAACACACACAACAAGGACGACATACACCCACCACAAACTTAACGCATTGCCAACAACAAAAACAACCGCTGTTTCCCGCCAAGTGGCTGTGACGTCACCACGGCACTTGTGCCAGGCGAGGTGCACTCCGAAGGACACGTGTGGAAGGGCTCACCGACAGGTCACGGGACACACCCAGGTGACCATGGGCTGACGGAGATGACGAGTAGATGCACCACCTGTTCTCCCCACTGTGTTGACTTGCTGTGCTTTAGCCACCCGCCGCCCCGCTCGTTGTTGTGAGCATCGCTCCTCTGCTCTCCGCTGTTTTTGGAGGGCGACTCCCTCCAACCGTTCAGCAGCATCCTTCACTAACCTCCTCCAGAGGTTGATCTTGACACTGCTGGTACCAGTAATCGGTAAGGCCACTCAGCGCCACATCCTCCTGTACCACATCAGCCCGTGTCTTCAATAACCTGTGCCACACCCATTTAGCCCCCTCTATCCAACCAAACAGAAGTTGCTTGGGGCATATTGTGGCTGGGCATGTAGGATACATGACCCCGCAAAAAGTAGCTTCACCTGCCAGAAGAGCTCACTGATGAGCCATCTGTTAGCTTCTCACACAATCCAGTCTGGTTAAACCCAGGATGGCTCGTAGGCAAGCCCTGCGCAAATGTTTCAGTGATGCAGAGGTTACTTTAGAGGGCTCCACGTTTTGGAAGCATCGAGCAGGGAGGGCATGACTGTAGCCAAGACGACCTAGAGCTTTGTATGGAGCAAAAGACCAGGTAGATTCCAAACAGCATTACGCAGCCGATGAAAAGATGCTACTCAACTGATTTGGAGTGAGACTTCCACTGCCAAACCGGAGCTGGTCATAAGCACACAGCCCGGTACGTACACTTAAACACAACTGCCCCATCACTCATGGGGAGTGGAGGGAAGGGAGCATCTGATGACATGAAATACCCAGGCAGGTGCTTTGTTTTTGGGGGGCCAATGGTGAAGCCCCCACCGCTCAGAAGCACACTCCAGATTCAGCAGCAGCTTCTCCAATTCCTTCTCAGCATGAGCAGCAATTACCAGATCATGAACATAAATGTTTGACCAGTAGGGAGCCATCCCTCTACCGCAACCGGGCATCAATCAGCCTCCCGTTGTATCTGTACCAGATGGAAATTCCTCCTGTACAGTCATTAAAAGCCTCTCGAACTATATGTTATTCGTATCTTATAAATGTCAAGCCAATGGTCGGTGGGCAGATGAGCTCCACGGTAGGTCCTGGTGTCAAGAACATGGGCCTGAAATCGCTGTTCCGTCACTTTATAGTCCAGCAGATGTTCTTGCTTTGAACCGGCGTGCACCCGTGATGTTGTGTGGATGTGCCGATGCCAAAACGGCGTGTTGGTGATTACAAGCCAATGGGCTGCACAGACGTTTCGCAGCTTTCTTCCATATGCGCGCAACGCACACACAATACACACAACACACGCACCACACACAACATACACACACACCGCACAAACCACAACACACACCACGCAACACACACACAACCACACACACACAACCACACACAACACAACCACACACAACACACACACACAGCACACGCAACGCACACACACCGCACACACACGCAACACACACAGGGATTGATCTGCTTCTCGGTGGTCAGTTACACGCTCGAGTTGGCTTCTGTCACTGTGGTGGAGGAGCCAGGTGACTTTTGGAAATGAGACTATCCTGGTCTCTAAGAGCTTCCACCTGGTTAGACAAAATCAACTCACTCACTCAACTCATCACCTCGCTCGCACACACCATCTCACCCAACATATCACCCATCAAAAACATCCCCCGTGCAGCCTTAACAGATTGTTGGGGCAAGTGCTGTTAGCGAGCACCTATGAAGGCCGGCACGGCACACGAGGCGGTGGGTGGCCAGCACCACGCCCGGCCGCCTTCGTATCCCCAGTGACGATGTTTACACACCGCACCGGGTACTCATTTGAGGCTGAGTCGACCTAGGGGAGGCCCAGGACCGGTTCAGATAATCATCACCGGTGCTGGCCGTGAGCAGAAATCGAACCCGGGTCACCAGGTTCATAGCGCAGCGCGCTAACTGCTACACCACCACACACACGCTCACTCACCCCCACTCATCTTGGCCTCTTAAGTTCTCAGAGTTCGACAAAATCCACTCCTAACCATAACCGCAACTATCAAGACCGCGAGCTGAAAATACTCCAAATAGAAATAAAAACACGTCACGTACAAGCACGCACGAGCAAGCTCCAAAAACACCCCAACACATCACACACGGCATCAATAACAAAGACAAGCGTCAAAAACACGACGTACACACACACACGCACGCAAGCACACAGAAAACATGCACGCTCCAACTCCCACCAGTGGCGGTGAGGCCGGCACAGGGCTTCACATTGCACCTGCAGCACCGACAGAGAACGAACGAAACATCCCCCGTGGAGCCTCTAGCAGACTGTTGGGGAAAGTGCGGCTAGCGAGCAGCACCTCCAGAACCTGGCACGAGGGGGTGGTAGCTAGGACCACGCCGTGGCCGCCTTTGTTTCCCCAATGCTGATGTTTACACCCCACACGAGGTACTCAATTAAGGCTGAGTCGACCTCGGGTCGTCGGGTTTGTTTTTCAGTGTCCTA